AAAAAAAAAAAAAAAAAAAAAAAAAAAAAAAAAAAAAAAAAAAAAAAAAAAAAAAAAAAAAAAAAAAAAAAAAAAACGTTAAAAAACAAAGAAAAGAACCACTTCTCATTTGAGAATCACATCATATCCAACCAGCATTACGTACTTCTCATTCCATGTTATCTCTACCACCAACACTCACTTCTCATCCCGCGATCGTCATCCACTTCTCATCCCGCAATCACCATCCACTTCTCATCCTGCAATCATCATCCACTTTTCATTCCAATCGTCATCCACTTCTCATTCCACTCGTCATCCACTTGACATTCAAGATTCACTTGTCATTCAAGATCCACTTGCTATTCAATCAGTATCACAAACTTCTCACAACATAATTCAAGCAAATATGGCATCACTTTACTTCACAAAAAAGCCTCATATGTGCAAACGCCGGCATGCAACCCTGACCAACCAAGGTCTTCCATTGATGCACCGGTGAATCCTTTGAAAATTCAATGAATGCCCTCTCATATGCGTCCTCACTCAAACGACATCATCTACTTCTCGTTTGTGGATCATAGCTCATTCAAGCGGCATCATTCACTTCTCACTTGATGATCACATCTCCTTTTCAACCGGCATCAATCTCATTCGACCGGCATCAATCTCTTGTGATTCGAGAATCACTCCTCATTCAAACGGAATCATCCACTTCTCATTTATGGATGACATCTCATTCAACCGGAATCATTCTCTTTTCATTCGAGATCCACCTATCTTACAATCAGCATCTTACACTTCTCTTTTCAAATCGTCACACAACATTGATCGCGGCAATCAACACAAACACGACCCGCACCACTTCATGGAAAGAGCTCACAAGTATGAAAGCCTGAATGGGGTCCAAGTCAGCTAAGGTCTTCCTCTTCCGCGATCGGATGAAACCTTTCAAAGTTCATGAAAAGTCATCTCGTACGTCACTCAAGATCGTTCTTATGCTTTCACCTCACCGTCTTTGGCTTTACATCCGATCAACATTATCGAAGAAGTCCGTCATCGTTGATTGATTTGAAGTGAGGTCGATCAAGCCGGTCAAAGTTTCTTCATTCATGAATGTCTCTGCACTCGCATTCATCGGGCTCTTACAAGCAAACACTGACAGTCTCTGGAGAAGAAGAAACGGTGAATGGATCTGCAACTTCACCTTTACCGCGAAGAGTGAATAAAAGTTAAGACGCGCTTTTTGCCTTTAGCAATCGCCTCCTCTCCACACTCCTTTTTATTGCTGTTGTTGCTCTGAAGCAGGCTACAGTAGCATGGCCCGTCTTTTAGCCCCCCGCTACGCACTTCTTCTTCTTCTTCCTCCACCATGTCTTCATCAAAACAAGATCTTGATTCGGAACGTGATATGGGTAACCGTTCTGAAGACATTCAAACTCCTTCGAATGTAAAAATGTCGGATAAAGGGGATGAATCGAACGTGATGGGAAAAAGCGATGGTCCTGTCGACAGAGAGGAAGAGCAACCTTCTACGCCTTTATCCCAAAGCAGTCGAATGCTCAAAATTAGTAAATTGATGATGCGAGGAGGAAACAATACGAATGGAAACGGTAGCGGAAACGATAAGAATGTACAAGATGATGTTCAACATGATAATTCAAACCTACTCAATAGCGATACAACAGACGGTCAAGATGGCAGCAATACAATCAAAGGAATAGATGGACTTCATGGGGCTTCTTCTGCAACGCCTCAATCAAGTGCTCGTTGGAACGCTTTACGTCAAAGATTACGTGAGAATGCAGCCAAAAAAGGAAAAGGGACTATAAATCGAAAAGCAAGAGTGGTAGGACAAATGAGCGTTGTGACTGAAATGCAAACTGGAATCTTGCCTGTTTTTATGATAAAGATGTCAATGGAACGCGATGAACAAGGCCATCGTCGTATTCCAGTCCTGTTGAATCATTTACACCTTCGAATTAGCGATAGTGTAAATCCTTTGCACACGTCCTCAGCCGTTTTTCGAATCGAACTGGAGTACGGAGACGGCTTGATCAGATGGGTTTGTTATAGATCTTTGAGGGATTTTATCAATCTACACACTCATTATCGTGCTGCAGCTATCAAAGGATATTTGGGTCGTCCCGTCGGTTCTACAGAAGGAGATGTTGGCGTGCCTAGCTTTCCAAAAACCAGTTTACCATATTTCACACAACTTCAACGTCAAGGATGGGGAAAGGGAGCAGGAGACAACGGGAAGGCACGTTTTGCACAAGCTCAAAGATCAGCCCTAGAAGACTATCTGATCGAAATTATTAAAAGGACAATGTTCAGACCTGAAGCAAATCGGCTATGTAAGTTTTTTGAGTTAAGTACATTATCCATCACTTTGGCATCCAGAGGAGGTTATCAAGGTAAACAAGGATATTTGCGCATCCTATCAAGATCGTCAAGGAAAGATGCACAAGGGAGTTTACTTACTCCGGTTACGTGGATCAAAGCTCATGAACCGAAATGGTGCATCGTACGTGAATCGTATATCGCAATCGTGGATCAACCGGACTCCACACAAGTTTTTGACGTATTTTTGCTAGATAATCAATTTGAGATTGAGAGGCCAAAGAGACTTTATCGGCAAACGCTACATTTAGCACAAGATTTTGGTCATGGCAACTCAAATGAAACAAGTAAGAAAGAGAAAGAGAATATCGGAAATGAGCACTTGCAATCACCTGAAAAGACGGTAGAGAAGGGTGGAAATGACCCCACCATTAATCAAACAGGATCAAGCGGAAAGCAAAAAGGTAAATCACAACAAAAAGAAATCCCTTCGCATTCAGCGGCACTGGATGGAAAAGACGAAACTGCAATCCTGACCGAAGGCCATTTTCGTGATCCGGGCGATGACGAATATTCGGGTAGTCATCGAAGCAAAGCTGATGCAAAAGTATCAAGTCATACGTTTCACATTAAAAACGCCGAAAGGAAGTTGAAATTGGTAGCAAACAATGAACGTCAAATGAATCAGTTCATCGCAAGTATGGAAAGAGTTGCACGAAGAAACATTTTTGGCAGGAAGAATAGATTTGATAGTTTCGCGCCTATTCGCCTTAATTGCAATGCTCGTTGGATCGTTGATGGAAGAGATTATTATTGGCAGGTCAGCCGTGCATTATCAAGGGCGAAAGATTGCGTTTATATCCATGATTGGTGGTTGAGTCCCGAATTATATCTGAGAAGACCCGGATCGCCAAAGTATAGACTTGACAATGTCTTGAAGCGCAAAGCGGAGGAAGGCGTTAAAGTCTTTGTGATTGTCTATAATGAAGTCTCGAATAATTTCACGCCAACAGATTCCAATTATACGAAGCAACGCTTGATCGGGCTACATCCAAACATCTTTGTTCAACGATCTCCAAGCCATTTCCAGACAGGAACTTTCTACTGGGCTCACCATGAAAAGCTTTGCGTGATCGATGAAACTATTGCTTTTATGGGCGGCTTAGATCTTTGTTTCGGTCGATGGGATACATCTTCACACGTTTTGACAGATAATCATCTTATGGAAAATGAAGATGCGAAAGGATCATCTCCTCAACCGGTAGGATCAATGGCGCATTCAGGTAGCGTAACAAAAGCGACCGCTAAAGCTGTCATGACTGCACAACAACATGAAGCAAATTTGATGGGCCCCGGAGCTGAAGGAAGGGAATTTTACGTTTGGCCAGGTCAAGATTTCGCAAACGAACGTGTAGTAGAGTGGCATGATTTGACGAAGCCAGAAGTAGATCTTTTCGATCGTGAACATTTCCCGCGAATGCCGTGGCACGATATTGGTCTTCAGCTTATCGGTCAACCAGCGAGAGATCTATGTCGTCATTTTACACAAAGATGGAATCTCTTACTTCGGATCAAGAATCATAAACGCTTGATGCCTTTTCTCATTCCGCCTTCAGACTTTTCTCCGTCTGATTTGAAAAAGTTCGATTTGACGGGAACTTGTGAAGCGCAAATTTGTAGATCTGCCGGTCCATGGAGTATGGGAACAGCCAATACCGTTGAGCATAGTATTCAAAACGCTTATCTGAAATCGATTCAAATGAGCGATCATTTCGTTTATATCGAAAATCAATTCTTTGTGACGAGTACGGAAGCACGCGGAACGGTAATCGAAAATATGATTGGTGAAGCTTTGGTCAGTCGTATAATTCGCGCAGAAAGAGAAAAGACGTCATGGAAAGCAATTATTGTCATTCCCCTCATCCCTGGCTTTCCCATGCCAATCGATCATCCAGATGCATCCTCTGTTCGATTGATTGTTGATTTACAGTATCGATCAATCTCTCGCGGTGAAGATAGCATATTCAGCAAATTACGCAGACGTGGTATCGATCCGGAGCAATATATATCCTTCTTCTCCCTTCGTCAATGGGGTAAATTACCTTCGGGAAGATTAACGACCGAACAAGTTTATATTCATGCAAAAGCAATGATCGTTGACGATCGATTGGCGATTATCGGATCTGCGAATATTAACGAAAGAAGTCAAAGAGGTGATCGTGACAGCGAATTAGCATGTGTCGTTCGGGACACGGATATGATTGATTCAACGATGGCAGGAAAATCGTACAAGGTTGGACGATTTGCACACACTTTACGAGTTCGTTTGATGAGAGAACACCTTGGCTATGACGTTGATGCTGATGAGGTTCAAAGTGATTCTGGTGAAAAGGATGATGATAACCGTCAATTATTCATCGATCCACTTGATTCAAAATTCTTTAAAGATCTCTGGGTATCCTCTGCAACGCATAATACGCAAATATTCCGAAAAGTTTTCCGTTCAGTGCCAGATGATATGGTGACCACTTGGCCGGAATATAAAGCCTTTCAGGCTTGGTATTCTCGTTTATCACGATCAGGAGGTAATGCACAAAGCTCTCCGCCACCACCACCCCCTACCCAAAAACCCCCCAAACGATCTCAAGTCAAAGCAGAGAACCGAGAGTTTGATTCTGATGAAGAAGAAGGTGAAATGAAATTCAAAAGCGAAGCTATAAGTGACAACAAAAATGAATCATCACCATCTTCATCAAACAGTCAATTGGGTAGCGGTGAACAAATTGCACAAGCTGAAACGCAAGAACGTAAAGTGACTGGAATCAATGCGAATCCATCAGTAGAGTATGCAAAGGAAAATGCTGATAACGAAGAAACAACAATTCCAACAACGTTGAATAATGCTTTGCCTGGTCAAAGGCAAGAGCCTCAAGGTTTACGTGATTCGACGAAACAATACGTTAAATCAAACGCAGGTATAAGCGCTTCACATACCGCTGCAGCTCAACCTCTTCGAACAGAAGCCGCTGTTTCAGCCGCCGCCGCCGCTGCTGCTGCTTCGGTCGATGAAGGATTCTCACAGTCCGAACTAGAAGAAATGGAACGAATGCTGCAAAGCTTACGTGGTACTTTGGTTCATTTTAGCACTCGTTTCCTTGAAACGGAAGATCGATCCGACAACTTTCTCTTTCCAATGGATAAAATCAATCCTCTCAACGTTTATGCATAGATTCTTCCACTCAACACTTCATTTTTGTAAACATATTTCATCAATTCTCTCTCTGATTTACAAATATTTGGTTTTATTTCGTTGTAGAGCAGAAATGATTCAAGATGAAACCGTTTCCTTTTCATGCGTCCACAAATGCTTTCACATTTTCCAACCAAGCGCAATATTCCCTTTGTTCTTTAAATTCGGCAAAGTTTGGAATAAATAATGCCAATTCTGTCGCAATTCCTCGTTCTTCCAAAAAGTGTTCAAATTGTTCTTGTACAGACTGATCTAAAGTGTCAAATTGCGGTCCGATATACAATCCTCTTCGAGCCCAATCTGCCTCTGCTGTAAGATCGGTTGCCAATTTTGCATCTTTATAAAAGCTAATATTTTCGATTGTGAAGCTACCGTCAATTGCTTGTGCGTCAATGGTTAAAGCGCCTTGAGATTGTTTGGAGATCGTGATTGCACATCGGACGGGAAAAGCAGGCGTTTCTTCTTCTTCTTCCTTTGTCTCATTCATATCTTCACTTTCTTCCATTTCATCAGCTTCGGCCGATTCACCAATATCGCCAATGCTGAAAAGGACACGAATATGTTCGTTTCCGAAATCACGAATAAGTGCAATCTCATCCGAGCCAGGTTGATCTTCAATTTTCCAAATGCCTTGAGAACGAAAATTGGTCAAAAATGCAGGTTCGTTTGAACTTTCGTTTGGGTTTACATTATTTTCTCTTTCATATTCAATCTCTTGAGCAAGACGGGTTGAGAGTTCGATATCTGATTCACCTGCGCCTAAAATAGGTTTAGAAGAGTGAAATGGGCGAAAAAATGTTGGATTTGAACGTTTGAGTAAATTTTGGTTGGATAGATGATTGGCTGAGATGGTGATCCTCTGAGCATTACGAGCCGTTTGCATTGATGATCTCTGTAAAGTGTTTAGCAGATTAGCTCGCATCCGAACAGAATTAGAGGCAAACATGATTTGAAAATATTTGCTTTGGTGAACGTTATTTGAGAAGAGAAAGTGTTTGATGAGATTGAACGAAAATTCATCAAAGGTTCGACGGATATGCATGCAATCTCACACGTGCAAGCATGATGATGCACAGGCCATATTTTATATTCATAGATTATGTGCCATTTTTATTCTTTACGCGTTTACGCGACTCGAGATCATCTTTATTATTCTAGAAGAACATCATGACATCCAACTAGAAAAGTTCACGATGACATCGCATGCACAAATTGGATCATGGAACAAAGAATTCCTAAAAGGAACAAACCATCTTCTTGGGCAAAATTAGAAAAAATCTTACTTGGACGAACTTTACACGTTCACGCCCTTTCTCCTCTTAATCCTCCCTCTATTCTTTTTGACAGTCATCCGCAAGATGATACCCTTTCTTCCTCACAATTGGATGAAATCGCAAAAGCATTGCACAATTTCCTTTCCGTACGATTGACAAACGCCATGCAAGCGGTAGACGATCGTAATAGAAATGATACTGCTTCGATGTCATCTGGTACGATTCGTAGATTGAAAAAAGGTTTCATTCGAGCCGTTAGAGCTAGCTTTGTGGAATTACCAGACAGTCAGACGGACGAAACAGACGAATCCAAACCGACGCCTTGGAGTTTAGAAATTGAAATTCAGCCGCCCGAATCAAGCACAAATCCTCTCTCAAGCCTCAAAGTTCGCTCAAAGTCAAATATACAAAAAGCACATATCTTATTTCTGTCCAACGCCAATTTTGCAACCTCTACCCATTATCCAATATTACTATGGAAAGCGCCTCCTTCTGCAGTCTATACTGAAGATATTGGATCGCAACAGCAACAGCAATCACAGCTCGACGGTCAAAAGGATGCGATGTTGTCTAAAATGAATGCTGCATCAACGGAAAGTACAGTAAGTGTCAATTCGCGTATGTTGATGGCACATGCGTTGGACTTCATTTCTCGATTCTTCGATTGTCGGATTTCGCAAGAAGCACCTTTGTGCAGTATTCGTGGCTTGAATCTCGAAAAAATGTCAGAGGCTATTTTGCGCTTTCATAGATCGCGCAATGAGGAGAATGGGGAATCTTTGCTTTCTTCTTTTGGCCATTTTGGGGTGGATTTAGGGTTCGCCTTACCAACGCAATTGCTTTGCGATTTAGCACAAAGTGAAAGCAAGATCGAAGATGGTCCTGCTCCGCATCTCAATTTGATCAGTCTGACCGCTCCAGCAACAGCTGTGAAAGCATTAATGACAGGCACTAGACAAGGTATGCTGCAAAAAATGCGTCATGATAGAAATGAGCATTTGCTGATCGAATTTTTTTTCTTCCTTAACAGGAATGCCGGTCTTACCTGGCATTCAACAATATCTAGCCTTGCATACATCACTTCAACTCAATCGTCTCACTCTAGTTCGAGCAGGAGTTGAGAACATTTTCATTGGTGTTCCAACGGCTACGACTTTAATCTCTTCTGCGGGTCAGATCAGTGGCGAAGTTCGAATAAAGATCGGCACACATGCGAAAGGCCAAATGAATAAAAGAGCACAACTTTCTACTCAAGAAATCGACAGCTTGGAACGAGAACGGATCGGTGTTATTTTAAAACAGCTGATCTTGTTGTCTGAAGAAGACAATTGGTGATGGTTCTATCGTAACAACATGATACAAAATATATGGTATTATACATGACAAAAATAAGCTCCTCAGATTCACTCTCTTTTTTGCTTTTTGACATCTGAAGGAAAACTTTCACCCTTATTCGACAGTGCATGGGAAGATGATGCAACACCTGGTACAAGGCTAAAGCTGCCCTCTTTGAACCATTTCGCATTTGCTTCTTCAACTTTCTTTTGTCTGGACGGATCACTTAACTCTATGCCTTGGACAGGAGTGAAGGTCAAAGTGGTGGCCGTTCCAGACGTATCGTCATTTCTTCTTGGACTGATTTGCTCTGATTCAGATGTATCTTTGCCATTTTCGCCTTTGCCGAAATAATCTTCCAACCGATTTGAACTATTTGCACTTTGTCGAAGAGCTCGAATGCGTTCAATATTGCGCTTTGACATTCTTGCTTCCGTATTCTTATTGGCAACCTGTGCACGTACTTGACCATCGCCTTTGGAGTTCAGCATTCCCATTCCCTCACTTTCGTCAAAAGCGCCAGTCTCTTCCTCTGCCTCGCCAAATTGAACACGATTTTGTGCTTTTCGGACTTCAGACATGCCATTCCTTTCTTTGAATTTACGTGCTTTTCGTCCTCCCCGTCGTGCTTTCTTGCCTCCTTCTTTCGGAACAGGCAAAGCTTTAATCATTTTGGCAGGCGGTGGCTCTTGCAACTTTTCCAACTTTTTCTCCAATTCGATCATCAATCGAGTTCCATACGAACCATGCAAGTCTGACCTTCCTGCATCAACACGAGCGGCCAATAAGGCTTTTGCGGAAACGATTCTAAGGGCTTGTCGATGATACTCTTGAGGAATCGCTTGAATGAGAGGTGATTGAAGGATGAAACCATTTCGTCTACCGGAAAATGTCGATGAAAGGCCAGAAGCTTGTTTGCCCATCGAACCTAAGAGCATAAGATTGCAAGCTGGAATTTTTATCAAAGACGTTAAGCCGCCAGCGATACCGAGAAGTTTGGTTGCTACCTGACTTCCAACAACCTTGGATAGGTTTGGAGCAATAATATTCATTCGTGATTGAACGTAATCCAAGATCAAAGTGCGTGTTTTATCCAGATCCGATACCAAATCGCACGCTTGTTCGACATTCTTCCATGCTTCTGCATCCAGCCTTCTTCCTTTTGTCGTTGAAGCTTGCATGCTGATTACCACAACCGTTCCATGTGGTAATATTCCGTTCAATTTCGCATTTGCAATATTGTCATGATTTCCAATCGCACGAATAGCTTGAACAAATTCTCTAGGATTTGTAATCAGACTTTCCAGCTCGGGAAATCGAGGTTTGTAATTTTGTCGAATAAACTTGTGGGCAATCAGTAACTCGTTATCCACTTCAACCGCCAAATTGTTTGCATGGACGATCAATTTATATTCTGGCGAATCTTCCAAAACTCCTTCAACGTCTGGCTTTGTCAAAGAGGAAAATTGTCGGATTTTTGCCATTGTGTCGGCCATCCGTTGTGATCGCATAAGCGGACAGATGGCATAAACGCTTTTCACATCTTCCGGTCGTAGAAACAAACTTTCAACATCTTCGGCTTGCATCTCTTCTGCCGGTCGAATTGCATTTGGATTTTGAAGATAAGATGCATTCTCAGAATCTTGTACTGAATTTTTCGTATTGTCGTTATCATCGTCATCATCCAAGCCTGCAAGATCGTCCTCTATGCTGTCTATCATACCTTCATCGTCTTGCATGACTCCCCATCCTTCTTCATCAGTCTTGATGTCATTTTGAAGTGAATCATTTTGTATATTTGATTGATTCTCATCGTTCAAATCTTCCAATAATTCGTCTGCCAAGAAAGAAGACATTGCCTAAAGGCAGCACTTCGAATATTGTTTACTTTGAATTGATTTTAGAGTGGGATGATGGTTTAATGGCAAAAAGAGCCAATGTCCGTTCGTTTTCATGCGGGCGTCGCTCGGAAATCGGCATTGGCTCAATATGTACAGTATTGGCGCGACAAGAATGAATGAATGCATTTTGTTTGAGTAAATGATTCTCAATTCACCTTCAATCCACGATTCATACAAGAGAAAGCCTGATGAACAATGATTGGATATTATCCATCTGTTCGATCTGGTCTTCCAATACAGGCTAGATCACACATTTCAAGGTATCTCTCTTCGATTCCGGAACATTTAAACTCTTTTCATTCTCAGCCACGTCGATCCAGATTGCATTCAGCAGCATGCCAAACATATCAACCTGCAATTTCTTCAAGACAGTACAGCTCATCAGCACTCATTCGTGAATCTGTTTCCACTTCGAAACCGTATCCTCGTAACAATGGAATACGTACAAACTCACAAAACAAAGAACGCATACAACGACAGGGACAGCCTTTACCTTTCTCTCATCCGCATTTATTCCCTCAAAGGCTTCCTTTATTGGCAGGTGCTGATATCATACCGCCAGATAAAGATGGTCAGTTAGCTGTTGCGGAGGATGAAATAACGCCTGGTGTTCCAGCAAGAGAATTCGAAGATCGAAGAAGAAGATTGATAGACAAACTACCCGAAGGCAGCGTGATTGTATGCATGTCTGGCCGCACAAAGATGATGAGTGGGAATATATTCTACCGTTTTAGGCAAGATTCAAACTTTCTCTATCTAACAGGATTCCAAGAGCCTGATTCGGCTTTGATACTGGAAAAAAATTCTACCAGCCGAGGTTATCGGATGACCATGTTCATCCCACCGCACGATCAATCAGGTGAAGTTTGGAATGGGCCCCGCATTGGACTTGAAGGAGCGCAAAGTATATTTGGAGCGGATGAGGCGCTTTTGATGGATCCTTCAGCGTTTTTGCAATTCCTCAAGAAAGTTTTGCCATCTTTCGATCATGTCTACGTTGACCCTCCGCCAACTCCTTCGATCCCTCGCCAATCAACCTTGACCCGCCGAACGCCATCCTTGCTCAACTTTCTCGCACCTCCATCGCCCACAGCTTATGACAATTTTCCCAGGAAAGCCGATTTTGATGCTATAATCAAACTTTTAAGCGACACAAGCCGATGTCATTCGCTATCTAAAGAAGTCCACCAACTACGGTTGATCAAATCAGAAAACGAATTGAAACTTATGCGAAGGGCGGGCAGGATAGGCTCGCATGCAATGATGGAAGTAATGCAGTCTACTCAAGCAGGTCGTACAGAATGGCAATTGCAAACCATTTTCGAATCTTCTTGTGCGATGCAAGGTGCTCAGAGGCCGGCCTATGTACCAGTGGTCGCATCAGGGGAAAACGCACTCACCATTCACTATGTGCAAAATGATGACGTGTGCCAATCAGGTCAGCTTGTTTGCATGGACGCAGGCTGTGAGATGGATGGATATGTTTCTGATATTACCAGAGCATTTCCTATTGACAGTCGTTTCACTTCTCCTCAACGTGATTTATACGGTGCAATTTTGAATGTCTTAAAGGCATGTACCAAATTGGTCAGCGAAGATCAAGGATATACTTTAAGCGCTTTGCACAGAAGAAGCGTTGAAATGTTAAATTCAGAACTGAAACGGTTGGGATTCAACTTGCCTGCTGGGAGCTTAGAAAGGGATTTGTATCCACACGCATTAAGTCATTGGCTCGGTCTGGATTTGCATGATACCTCAACGGTCGACCGGAATACGCAATTGCGAAGTGGAATGTGTTTAAGCGTAGAGCCTGCGGTATATTGTCAAGAAGGAATGCCAGGCGTGCCGATCGATTTTTGGGGCTTAGGTATTCGGATCGAGGATGATGTTGCTGTTTACGGCGAGAAAGGCAATATTATCCTGAACGCGGAAACGCCAAAAGAGATTGAAGATGTTGAATCAATTTGCTCAGGCTTTTGGCAAAAGCATGTCGAATCTGACACTCATCAAAAGCACAATTTCGAATCAAAGAAGGAATGGATATGATGACGAATTTCACGACGGAAGAAGAGATGATGAATGATGATAGTATCATTCGATTGATAACATTTCTTGTGTAAGGATCTGACTATACATCATTATGACTAAGCTTAATGCACCTTTGCGTGGGCTTGGAGTTCTGATTCATCAATGATCAACATCTTACCACCTGAAGCTGGTTCACCGGACAATGCTGCGGTTGCAGTTTCGAATAAGAATCTCAACTTGCCATCAGCTTTGAAAAGACGGATTTCCTGTGAGAAAGAAAAAGGTATCAGAGATGGACTATTGGAGAATAAGGAAAGGAAAAAGACTCACCTCTGGATGAACGTCGATTAGAGCAACTCTTGGATCATTTTCGTCACCTGTATGTTTGCCATCCTTTTTATCGTCAAACCAAGCTTTCAATGCAGAGCTCCAATGCTTCTTCACTTTATTCTTATCTGTGTTGATAGTTGCTTTTCCGGAAACGGAAACCCAATCTCCATTCTTTGGATTTAAATAGCTCAAATTAACTTGATCGTCTGTTTTTACGTCATCCGCTTTACCTGATTCACGATTAAAGTAAAAGCTGAAAATGTTATTTTCCAAAGTGGCATGAATCATTGCACGACTTGCCAATTTTCCATCGGGAGAACGGGTTGTAAGCATTCCAGTTTGAATTTCATTTACCAAAGCAAAAGCGGTTTTGATCTTTTCATCGGCCGATAAATGTTGACCGCTTTGAACGCCCTTTTTGGCAGTTGGATCTGTTGTAGACATGTTGTATTCTGTGTATATTTTTGTTGATGATGAAGAAAAGATGGAAGTGATTGTTTAGAAGATGTGTACATAACATTACAAACCTCCACGTTTATTAATATTCAGAAGTGGAGGGAAAAGGGAAGTGTGTGTGCATGATTACATACGCAGCACAGCGCTACACATACAATCGTGTGCACGGTGCATGTATGCACTGCACACACAGCAAAGTATTCTATAATACAAACTCACACATGAACATCACGTTTCTTGTCTTTCCTGTTCCATCAAAAGAAAAAAATATGAATCAATCCATCTCAGTCAATGATGAGAACGATTCAGAAGAAGGAGAAGAAAGGTTAAGTATAATCACACCCATTGGATACAATACTTCAACATGCGGTTATTGTTCCGAACCTGGAAGTGGAAAAGTGAATAGGAAGAAATCCAGTAAATCTTACGGATTATGGGCACACCATTTAACTCCAGAATCCTATCAATCTATGCTTGATCGTGGCTGGAGAAGGTCAGGTCAATATATTTATCGACCTGATTGTGGAAAAGACGGTACATGCTGTGCTCAATTAGCTATTCGCTTAGATGTGAAATCTTTCAAGCCAAACAAAGAACAAAGACAAGCATTCAATTCAATTCAAAACTTCATACGATCATCAAACAGTCGTCATAATTTGTATGATCGTAATGATTCAATCACAATCTCAAATGCACTGCGAAAAGGAAAATATACTCGAAATTGGGATGTGGAAGATGAATGGAATCGGATAGAATGGCAAAATGATCAACAAGATCATCTTTTATTTCGGGCAAACGTGCAAAAAGATCTCTCAGAAAGAAAAAAATTGCTCGGTCAATATCACTTTTTAAGGAGCAAAGATGGACAAAAATACCGCAAAGGACAAAGAGCTCAAATCGATCCTCCTTTACCGCCACAAAGAAAGCGCTTGCAAGTTACTCTACATCATGCCAAATCATCAAATGAGAAATATCAACTTTTTCGCAAATATCAAGCAAAAGTACACAAAGAACAAGAAGACGAAATTTCTGATCAAGATGGATTTGAGAGATTTTTATGTCATTCTCCATTTTTGCCTACAATGAAAGGCACACAACAATGTCAATCACCAATTCCAGGAGAAAAGGTTGACATGTATTCAAAAAGTCCGATCCATTTTGATCTTTATCATATGGAATGGCGCTTGGATGATCGATTGATTGCAGTGGGCGTTTTGGATATTCTACCTCGCTGCATAAGCAGCGTTTACTTATTCTACGATCCTGATGATAGCGGCTTACAATTGGGAAAAGTTAGCGCTCTTCGAGAGATAGCATTAGTACGTCAAATTCAGAGGAAAGAAGGAATGGGCTCCGTTGGCCATTACAGTATGGGCTTATATGTTCATTCATGTGCAAAGATGCGGTACAAGGCTAAATATCAACCTTCAGAGATTCTGGATCCGGAATGCTGTAAATGGATACGATTCGAACAAATTGCTAAACAATTGGACAAAGGCGTTCGATTCGGATTCTCAAGTCAGGCCGGTTCTGCGATCACAGAAGTACAGTCAGGCGATAAGAATGAAAAGGAGATCTTTGAAGATGAAAGCGAGGATGAAAAAGAGATCCCACGTCCACTACCGCCTGGAATTGAAGATCCTACAACGATTCCATTTAAGGACTTAGTCCAATGCGCATTTTTACGAGGAGGAAAGGTCTATCCATTGGCGGTGAGTTCAAGTACCTCATTGTGGCTGCATCATCTGTTATTCATCGTGATCAATCTGACCTTAGTGTTGAAATCTTTTCAGCATTCAATAACCTCCCTTTCACGATCGAACGCGATAAAATGTTTGGATTCCTTAGGAGCACTAGGACCGATTCGAAATCAATTCTGCCTTGTACTATAGAATGATGAAACAATTGTATCATTTAAGTCAACACATGGCGATTTCTGCTGATCAAGAAGTCTCTCTCCTATCCAAAAATTAACTCGTAGATGATGATGACAACGTTGAGTACGATCAGTGGAACTGTACGTTATGATAGACAAAGAAAAGAGAGAGATTAGCAATTTCGTTGGTAAAATCGAGTGAATTAACATACCTCGTAACAATGTTCTTACAGCGCTAATCAAATGAATTAGCCTTGTCTTCACACTTGCTTCTTGACCTTGACCACCAAAGCCGGACGAATCAAAAGAGGATGAAGATTGGCTAGAAGACCAGCCAACTGAAAGAAGAAGAAAAAAGAAGAAAGCGCAAAAAGAGATCAATACTTCATTCTGGTGCTGTTCGCCTCCATAAAAAAGAGTACTTACTTCTCGCTAGAAATCGTTCTTCGTTCAAGATGGCAATCGCATTAACCAATAAAAGCGAAACGTAGATGAACAAGCCGATTGCGCTCGCCATTGTGTTAACCTAGAAGACAATAACCTTCTTTCTGTTTGACGAAATTATCAAGTCATAACACTTCCTTCAATGTAAAGCTTTGATAAAAGGTTCAGTGCCGCGGAGATGATGGTGAAGGAGATCTGGAATCTTTCTTTTCTCATTTTATGCTTTGGGCGCAGCCATTAAAGAAGAAGTGCACGCACGGTTCACGCGTGTCAAAGCGGATAAGGGCACTTCAACAGTGACTGACTACACTGTAACTTCACCATTTCAGTCAATTTATGCCCGCCCTTCGTCCGCTTGCACAATGAATGATGCATGAGCCCGATGATAACACGGGAGAGAGAGAAGAAGATTATTTGTTGTTTTGTGGCTTGAAAGCAATCATACCGCTTTGGCCTGCGTGCGCTGCGCTGCGCTGCGCAAGTGAAGGGCAAGTGTTTCTCCCTTTACTCCTACTTAAGATGAATTGGTCATCATCTCCTTTCCTTCCTTCATTTCCATCAACCTCTCCTTAAAGAATGAAATGTATTGTTCATTTCATATCATCATCTTTTAAATTCATACAAACAATCGTAACACTTCCACAGATGAACTCCTGTTCGGATTCATAAAACTATCACGGTGCCGAATTGGTAAAAATATATGACATGAACGCAAACACCAATTGCGCCCAAACTCCCTTTGCGCTCTTCCGCTGACCCGCACATTTACTTCGCTTTGGTACCTATCCTTTTCTTTGCTCTGTTCCTCCATCATCCATCAAAGATGTCCTCTACTTTACCCTTCTTTCGTCAATGTCCTCCTGGCCTTGGTGGAAATGGCTGTGAAGAGGCTACATGCAATTCTACCTTTGTCGACCCTACATTACGAATTCTCAAATCAGCCAATAGTACTGCATGTAGTAAGTGCGATGATGGCTTCGGAGGCTTAAATTGCAATATCTGCAAAGGTCTTGATTCTTGCGATATTCGTCAAACGCAAGTCAATCGAGGCGTAAAGGGTGTCGCCAAATCTTCTTCCGCTCAAGGTCAAAGCAACGGTCTGGCCAACTACAGTATCAACAATACATTAACGTGCAACAATCAGCCACGAGCAATTACTGCTTCCTATTTGCAATGTGATGTCGAACAAGCCACGCTTTCGGCTTTGTTCCCTGGCAATCTCACAATTACAGGGATCAAAGTGGCCAACGTACCCAACTTTACCGCAACAGGTATGGCAGAATGGGATGCGGTGTCCAATTCATCCTACTTATCCGTTTTTTTGGATGGCGTTGAGCAATTTTATTGTCAAGCTGAAAATTGCGCGAGTAGCAACACTACTGACCACGTGCAATCTTCAACGGCTCAATGGGGAACAGATTTGTGGCATTGTTCCTCTTTCTCATGTTCTTGCATCGAAACAGCAAAGATTTGCTCAAACCCTTCTTTTCCACTTGCAAGTATCATCAACAGTATCGGAGGCTCTTTGGATTTCCCTTGCGATTTTGTAGATCCAAACAATCCCTTTGGCCAAACTCAATGCAAATTGAGCACAGCTGAGCTTAACAAGTTTGTTGGGCCTGACGGTCTTGCATTACGTCAATGCTCTTATGGCAGTTGTGTTTCTCAGTATGACCTCGAACAAGATTGGCAAAATTCCTTCTTGCAACGTCAGTCAGAACAATCTGGAAGTCTTTCGAACGGTGTGATCGCAGGATTGGCTATCTTGGGCGCTTCTTTGGCCGTCTTTTTGGTCACTCTAGCGTTTGGATATTATCTACGAAGGAAGGCTTCTCTTTTGCAACGTATTGATGATCGTTCTGCTATTGGTCTTGCTTGGAAAGAGATTCATTATCATGCCGATTCAGCTAAAAGCACTACATTTATGCACAAAGTTCCTCGTCGTCTCAGAGGGGAGAAAGCAATGATTCAAGCACAAGCGAGAGCAGAGGATGAAGAAGCAAGATTTTCGGATCAAAGTGAAGGTGAACGTATTCAATTGAAAGAATACAACAGTGAGCATCCATCGAATCTTTTGCCGAGCTCTCGCGGCCAATACCATATCTTGCGCGGCATCACTTCTTATGCTCTCCCTGGAACGTTGAACTTCATCATTGGTCCAAGTGGTGCAGGAAAGAGTTCTTTGGTAGATGTTCTTGCCGGAAGGGAAAAAGTTGGAACAGTAACAGGCAAATTGTCATGGCTGAGCAAGAATGAATCACACAATGGATTTGAGCATCGTTTGATTGCTGTTGTAGACCAAGACGATTCGATCAATTTGCCAGGATTCATGACAGTTCGGGAAGCCCTTCAATTTGCTGCAGAACTGAGTGTTCCGGAGAATGTGCCAAAACATGAAAGAGTACGGATCGTTGATGAAACGCTACAGAAGTTGGGCTTAAGCCAAATCGCCAATCATCGCATAGGTGATGCCAGAAGTCGAGGCATTTCTGGCGGAGAACGTAGAAGGCTTAGCTTAGCCGTTGCTCTCGTTGGCCAGCCAAAAATATTGATTGCTGATGAATGTACGAGTGGACTAGACGCATTCTCTGCACAAAAGGTGATAACAGCTTTACGTGATCTCGCTTGTGGTATCAACGGTGGAACGACAATCATTGCCACTTTGCATCAACCTTCGTCTCAAATATTCGATTTGGCAGATCGTGTGATTCTGCTTAGTCGAGGTCAAACTTTATTCGATGGTCCTCCATCTGCATCGCTTGACTTTTGCGAAAAGTCTGGAGTACCGGTACCGAGAGGACACAATGTTGCAGATCATATGCTCGCTTTGGCATTCGAAGGTCCAGAACATCAAAAACATCTTCGAGACACTGTACTTCCGGATGATTTTGTTCAATCTGCTTTGCCTATCAATCATGGCTCTCGTGGCTCTCAGACTGTTACAACGTTTATCACCCAATTGCATGCCCTTACAGCAAGATCTTTACTCATGACCAAACGGGAAAAAACTGGTGCGATCGCTCATATTCTTGGATCTGCAATCGTTTCGGTTTTCATTGGTGCATGTTTCTTCAAGGTGAAATTGGATTTGGGTGGCTTTCAAAACCGAGTTGGATCGATGTTCGTAATGACAATCTTGATCTTATTTTCAAGCCTTTCTGCCGTGGTAGGATTGGCAAAAATGCGTTTATTGATGATGCGGGAACGGGCTAATGGTTTATACTCGCCCTGGTCTTGGGTTGCTGCCCACTTGACGTATGAATTGGTCCTTTTACGTGCCATTCCGACAATCTTGATGGTTTGCATCATTTACTGGATGGTAGGATTACGATCGTCTGCCAGTGATTTCTTCCAGTTCATTCTTATCATGGTAGTGTTCGCATGGGTGATTGCAATCTACAATATGATCTTGGCTGCTTATATTGAAGATTTATCAACAGCAATCTTGCTCGCTGCGGTTTATATCCTTTTCAACATCTTTATGGCGGGCTTCGTGATGTCTTTGAATAGCATGCCATCCGTTGTGAAATGGCTAAGGTGGATCGTTCCGTCCAAATATGCGCTTGAGGCAGTTGCAGACAACCAACTGCAAGGATTACAATTCATTGATACGTTTGCAGGCGTGCCTGTTCGAACGGATGTGTCATTGTTTGCCAATAAGCTATTCGGCTTTGAGGATGGCGCTTATTATCGAGATTTGATCGTTTTAGCTTGCGGTTTCTTGATTGGTTTTAGCTTTTTGTTGTTCCTCGCAGTCTGGTGGCGCATGCGGGAGCTTCGATAAGCGGGAGCTCAGGCAGATCTAGCTAGATATCGAACCTATCTCTCCTACAACATCAAAATTCTTCCAAGATGAATGCAATGATGAATGTACACTTTGTGTTTCAGTCAATACTGTGCTTCTCAACAAGGGATCGATGATGTCAATTTCAGAAAAGTGATTCATACAGCTGTTTATATATAGATAAGAATGTAATCGTGGCTTCAAGGCAATGATGATGAATGAAGGCTCAATGATGTGATGTGGTACCATGATGAGGTCCATGATCGACTCGGCGAGTGACTTTACGTATGTAATCACAACCCCAAGGCGTGGGCTTGTGCACGCCCTGCATTGGAAGGGGGGTCGTGAGTGTCACGCCGTAGAAGTGCTTAGGCCTTTAAAGGTAGGGCTTGTTACTATAATTAGATTAGGTTGTTACTATAAATAGATTGGGCTGTTACTATAAATAGATTTCTACGCTCTCAACGAATTTTATCTGTTTTTTTTTTAAATTTTTTGAGCAAGAGGCAAAAAATACTAAAATTAAATATACCATACCTTGACTCACTAAAAAACTAATAAATTTTATGCGTACGAGACGTGTAAAAAAATAGACGTGTTAGTATACGCGTAAGGATTATTTTATGTATAAGTTTTTTTTTAGCTCATCACGCGCGTAAAAAGTTTTTATATAAGCACGCGACGCGCAAGAACTTTTTAAATAATCACACGCGCATAAGTTTCTTAGCGTATAAGTGTTAGCATATGTACATTCCTGACCTCGTGCTCAGTCTGCCGCATGCATGCGAACTGAGTCACGTTTCCTTGTTGGCGCATCATCAGTCTGATCAGACACAGCCTGCATGCATTTATGCACGCATACATAAAACTCATAGACCCTTTGTCACTGTATGTACTTTACCCTCACCTTCTCTGTGAAAGTCATCATTACCCATCAATAAGTTTTTTAAATAATTATATATGCGTCTAGATAAGGCTGACTAATATGTATATCGGCTTAGTAAGCTTATATAATTAATCATCTGGGCTTATATATGCTCTAGGCGGCGCCTCGTGTAGGGTTGGTTTTTTTTTGGGGGGTCACCCCCCCGGGGGATGGGAGGTAAAAATTTTGCTACCCCCCGGGAGGGTAGTAAAAGGCGCTAAAATTCTAATTTTTCTTCCCTACTAGTAAAAGTATTATGTGTACAAACTTTTTTATATAACTTTTATATTTAGTTATACTAAATGACTAAGCTAACTTTTACTGATATAAGTATATTTTACCTCTATTTACACTAGCCACCCCCTATCCTCCGGTGGCAGGGGTTGGGGGGTAGAAGGGTAAATTTCAGTTTACCCCTCTAAAACCTAACCCTAATCTACATGCTTGTACGGTAAGAGCGCTTATATAATCAGTTACTCTAGGGTAGCGTACGCCTTAAAGAGGTAAACCTTTTATCTTTATATCTTATATCTTTTACCTACCCGGTACCTAACGAGTCGATTCACCCTATAATCGACTCGTTAGGTACCGGGTATAAGAACTTTTTAGGTATCGATATACCTCTTTAATATTTAATAGAAGATCTCTTAAAATATTCGTTATATATAAGTATTTATTATAGGTAAGATTTAATATAGTAAAGTTTAATTATAAATTATATAAATAAAGACTTTTAGTATTTTCTAACTTATTTAGTTATCTTTAATAATTTATACCGACTCTATATATAATCTACTTTCTTAAACCTTAACTCTAAAGATAATTTAGTATAACGGTTAGTAGTATTATATATTATATTATAATATTAGAACGATAACGAAATAATATTCTAATCTTATTAAGATTATCTTTTTTTACTTTTTTTTATTTATAAAGATTTATATATTACTATCTAAATAAGAATATAATATTTATAATAGTTAGTTATAGTTTTAGTATAATCCTTATACGTATACGAGTTACAGTTTTAATATAACCTCTATATATATATAAATAATAGTTAGTTATAGTTTTAACATACCCCCCTTAGGGCGTGTATCCGCCCTAGAGCAATTGATTACATGAGCGCTCTCACCCTACAAGCGCAGTGGCTCCCGGTCTAAGAGCGCTGGAACGCGTCGCGTATTGTGTTCGCGTAGAGTGTTCTATTCACTTCAACACTCTATTTCTTACTCTTTACTATAGCAAAAATAGTCAGGGGACCTTATCTGTCACTAGAGGAGAGGGTTAAGGTGCTGATCTTAATAGCTGAAAATAGAAAAAATTTTATTGTAGTAAGTAGGGCTCTAGGTTAGTCAGTAAGTACGATTCAGGATATTTAGTAATTATAGAAGAAGAAATAGTAAGTAGTATCTTTAAAGTAAAAGAAGAAACTTATAAAGTAAAGTAAATAGATAGAAAGGTTTATTATCAGGATAGCTTTACACTATAGAAAAGCTTCTATAATTAAACTATATAGACTTATAAAGTTAACTTACCCTGAACTACCTATATATAGTATAAACTTGATTCGGTATATTTTAAAGAAAAATAGTTTATATTTTAAGTTTTATATAAAAAACTAGTGTTTATATAACTATATATATTAAAGAGACTAAAGTAGTATAGAAAGTATAAAAATTAGATGTATAATGACTGGTTATAGGTGGTTTAGATCGACGAGATTTTAATATATATAAACGTAGTAAACAGGCGAATACATATATAGATAGTAAAAGGAGATGAAAATCGTTTAGATTGTATAAATGTGACTAGAAGGTCTAGGCGGTAGTCGGTTTATTTTTACGGTTTTTTTAAGGTACTTTATTAGGTGTTTTATCCGCTTAAATTAGCTTAACTATAATAGATTAGTATCATAGTATTATTACTGAAACTATAGTAAATTGGTTAGATAACAGGCCTCTTTATTCACTCTTATAATTTGATGGTCACTCCTACCACCGGGCTGATAAGAATATCAAGTTTCTTAAGACTAACAAGATCGTATATATCGATGACTAGCCTGCTTATTCCTTAGATCTTAACCTAATTAAGAATGTTTGGCGCCGATTACAGGAGCTTATCGCCGAGCCGATTCTTACGCTAATAGAGGAGAAAATAACAGTAAACGAGAGGCAAACACGATTAATAGCTGTTGTCAATCAGGGCTAGAGCGAAATCTCAGAAACTTACCTTAAAAAACTATATGAAGATATACTAAGAAGGGTGAAAGAAGTCATTAAATAGCGCGGCGCTTACTCAGGTCGTTAATCTCACTCACCTTTTCATAGAAACCTAAAAATTATATAGAAAGAATCGTCAGAAGCTGTACTTTACATGCACACAAAAATTAGACCTACTTACCTAGAACCTTTGCAGAATTGTTTGTATGTTTGTGCAAAATTGCGCACCTTGAAATAGACGAAAAACGTGTTCCAGCGCTCTTAGACCGGGAGCCACTGCGCGTAAATCAATCTTAATCTATCGGTCTCCTTGGCTTGTAGACGCAGTAGAGGGCAGTAGAGGCTCTCATAATCAGTTGTTCTAAGCGTGCACGCTCACGTAATCAATTGCTCCAGGGCGGGCGCAGGCCCTGGAGGGGGGTTGCGTCAAAATTGTAACTAACCATCATGTTTTTATATGAGAATCTACTAATACAAGAATTTTTTCCTTTTTCTTTCCGTATATCGTTCTTGCAAACGTCTAGGTAATCATTGGCATATGGGTATGAAGCTTGATCCGCGATAAGATAATGAAGAGCCATAATATTAATTTGTGAAAAGAGTGAAGATGCAATCGTATTGTGCAATGTGTGCAGATCTTATTTTGCTAAGAATACTCTTGCTGTGCTGATATTGATCCGACTCCACCGTCTAAGATTGATGGCTTCGACGAGTAAAAGTCCGACCCATTGTACATGGTAGAAACCGAAATATGACCAAGCATCTGTCTCTTCCCATGCACCATCTTCGACACCGGCTTTAGACAAAATGTCGGTGGCGTGATGCAATGGCCATCTTCGAGCAATAAGGTCATGCCCAAGCCAGCTGACCGGTTCCACATTCAAGCTAGGTGTAATTGGGCTGGATTGAGTGTATGTGCCATCCATTGCTTGCCCAAGCTTTTTGTCTTTTCGTAATAAACAAATTGCAGTGTGTACACGCGGATTGCATTCAATCACCACTAATCGATCACTTTCCGGTTGATGTATGAAATCAAAGGAAAAGTGTCCGGTGAGATCAGATTTGCTCCATCTTGGATGTTCAGCAAGCCTGTCAAGGAATTCTTCAGACCATTTCCGGGTTCGCTGACCCATAGCAGTATGCGTGGCATTGTAGTAGGTCATCAACATATCATTGCTTGGACAGCACACAAAAGCTGTTATCCGGCCATCAATGACCGTAGCATGCGTGCACCACTCAGTTGCTCCCATCCCACCAATAAATTCTTGCGCAAGGTATGGCGTCTGTTTGCAGATAGGTATATTCATCCCAGTCTCTAAACGTTTCTCGGTTCCACGCCAATCCACAGATGCATCCGCGTGCAGGAATGGGTACGTGGTCATATCAGACCGACCAACATCGTCGGGAACAGTAGCTGCTTTAAACAGGAAGCGAGTGTTCCCTGTTCGTCTGAGAAGCTGGAGTCCTTCTTGCGGCGATTTGATAAGATGTCCGGCAGGGGCATCCATTCCGAGTGAGTGGACCAGATCAATGAAGCGATCTTTTTCGTGTAGAGTTTCAAGGAGGTCGGCATCTTGTATGATAGCTACCAGTGATGGGATTTGCTTCTTCATCAGTCTTGCTGCGGCTGCTTCTTCGATGGCTGTTGCTACTCCGCTGCAAGGGAGGAAAAGAGTGATACGATTTGATTTAGCTATTTGGAGGAGAGCGTCAATGTAGGCTTGACCACCGCCAAGAGGAAGAGAGTAAATTTTATGAATCGAATTAGAGAAGCGTGCTGCACAGAAAGTTGACCATCCGGTCTCTTCAGCAAGGATGACGCTGTAGCCAGATCTGGCAAGAGCACGGGTGATGTAGAGCGCTTTTTGAGATCGACCGCCAGTGACGAGGGCGCATTTGGAAGATTTAAGATGGGAAGATGTGCGAGAGAAGAGAAGGATGCGAAGGAGAGTGAAGGGAGTAGCTGCCAGGGCTAAGAGAGCGAGCAAAAAGGAAGAGATAGGTCCGGCCATAGTGGTTGGGGTGAAGGAGTGACGATAGGTAGAGGAAACAAATTCACTCTAATAATTATTCATCCGATGCCCGCCCGCCCGCATTAAAACACTTTTGACGCGACCCCCTTCCAATGCAGGGCGTGCACAAGCCTACGCCTTAGGGTTGTGATTACGTAATTAATGTTACACACGTAAGGTCACTCGCCGAATCGATTATGGACCTCATTATGGTCCCACACCACATCATTGAGCCTTCATTCATCATCATTGCCTTGAAGCCACGATCACATTCATTTTTATATAATGGTTAGTGACAGTTTTGACGCAACCCCCCTCCAGGGCGTGCACGCCCTGGAGCACCCTTATACGTAGGCTTTCATATGAAATATATATGTTTCTATAAAATTATACGCTAGTGTATATAGATATATGTAGGTGTAAGATAAGTATTACTCTATTACTATCTTCTATAGTAAAATATCTAGGATCGTAAAGATAGTATATCAGGAGATCTTATCGATTAATCAAGAACGAATTATTAGTAGGTACTTAGATAGTTAATCAATTAAAATAATTATATTTTACTATATTAAATTTTACCTATAATAAATACTTAGATATGATAAATATTTTAGGAAATCTTCTATTAAATATTAAAGAAGTATATCGATACCTAAAAAGTTTCTATAGGTAAAAGATATAAGATATAAAGATAAAAAAAAGGTTTACCTCTCTAAGGTATATACTACCTTAGAGTAACTAATTATATAAATACTCTTACCATATAAGTATATAGATTAATCTTATTCTATCGGTTACTTTAGCTCATATATATATTAGAGGCTTATATAATCAATTATACTAGAGTATATATATAGGGCGATATATCTATAATAATAATATATAATAGAAAAAGATCTTATTCGGTTTATACGCGTATACAGTACTAATTAATTAATAATTTATAGGTTTTTTCTACCCCTACCTTTCAGGATATAAGGTAAGTTTCTTTTAATATTTACTATATATAGAATAGTTAAGATTCTTTATATATTAACCTTAATATTATATTTTTATCTATATATTAGCCTGATTATTACTTCTTCACTAGTATATTAATCTTAATTATTATACTTTCACAAGTGTCTCTATCGTCTATAGTGATAACTCAGACCTAAGTGTCACGCCGTAGAAGTGCCTAGGCCTTTAAAGGTAGGGATTATTTCTATAAATAGATTTCTACGCTCTCAACGGATTTTATCTGTTTTTTCCTAAATTTCTTAAAAAGAGCAAATAAAAGCATTAAAATAAATATACTATACCTTGACTCAGTAAAAAAAACCAATAAATTCCATCCGTACGAGAACTATAAAAAAATAGACACGTTAGTATACGCGTAAGGATTTTTTACACATAAGTTTTTTAGCTCATCACACATATAAAAAGCTTTTATATAAGCACGCGACGCGCAAGAACCTTTTAAATAATCATACGCGTATAAGTTTTTTAAATAATCATACACACGTCTTGATAAGGCTGACTAATACGTATATAGGCTTAGTAAGCTCATATAATCAATCATCCGGGCTTATGTATAAGGTTGGGTTTTAGGGAGGTAAACTCAAATCTACATACCCTACCTCCCACCTCCCACCACCGGGAGGTAGGAGGTAGCTAGTGTATATAGAGGCATGAATCAGGAATGTTCTTTGTATATAGGTACCTATGGGCTTGTATGCGTAGGGTGTATGCGTTTGCCTGCCGTACCACCCCTCAAAAAAAATTTGTGCGCCTGCCGCACCACCCCTCTAGGGCGTGAAACAAAAATATATGTTTTACTACCTCCCCAGGAGGTAGTAAAATTTTACCTCCCATCTCCCCGGGAGGTAACCTCCCTAAAAAAACCTAACCCTACTTATACATTATAAACAGCTGTATGAAAAAAATCCTTACGCGTGTACTAACACGTCTATTTTTTTACAGTTCTCGTACTGGTAGAATTTATTAGGTTTTTTTACTGAGTCAAGGTACGGTATGTTTAATTTTAATGTTTTTTTTTGCTCTTGCTAAACAAATTTAGGAAAAAGCAGATAAAATCCGCTGAGAGCGTAGAATATCTATTTATAGTAACAACCCAATCTATTTATAATAACAGGCCCTACCTTTAAAGGCCTAAATACTTCTACGGCGTAACACTCAGGCCTAAGTTATGCCTAAGTTATCACTATAGACGATAGAGACACTTATAAAAGTATAATAATTAAGATTAATATACTAGTGAAAAAGTAATAATCAGGCTAATATATAGATAAAAATATAATATTAAGGTTAATATATAAAGAATCTTAACTATTCTATATATAGTGAACATTAAAAGAAACCTACCTCATGTCCTAAAGGGTGGGCGCGGAAAAAACCTGTGAATCACTAGTTGATCAGTACTGTACGCGCGTATAAACCGAATAAGACCTTTTTCTACATTATTATACGCTATTATTGTAGACGTGTCGCCCTATGTAATAGTTAGTTACAGTTTTGACGCAACCCCCCTCAGGGCGTGTGCCCGCCCTGGAGCAATTGATTACGTGAGCGCTCTCACCCTACAAGCGCGTGTTATATCATCACTTTAATAATTAAGCGCGTCCTATGGGCGTCGCTTAAACATTCCTGTTGTATTTTTAGTATGACGACCCCGCATGAATTCTTATTCAATGTCCCGTGCATAGTCTCCACGACTCTCGCTAGTGTGGAGAGGGTGGCAACTTTTCCTGTTAATTTCCATCGTCATTATCGCGAGCATCCGAAATGTCTTTGAATAATGTTCCACAATCATGCAAAGCCTTTCAATTAGAAAGAGGTGCCCAAAAAGGTGAAAGGAATCAAGCCATATTACGTTCGATCGAAATTCCAAAAGAAAAAGAAGGAATGGTTTTAGTTCAGATGACTGCAGCAGGATTCAATAGGAGGGATGAATGGGCTATGCAAGGTTTATATCCCGGTTTAACTTTTGGCGATTCAACGATTGGTTGTGATGGCGTTGGAAAAGTCGTTCGCGGAAAGATGGAGAAAGATTCACGTTTACCAACTCATCCGAATGATTTAGTCATTTTGGTGCCTACACGCGGATGGCAAAAAGATCCTCTTGGTCCCGAACCTGCTCTTGAAAAGACAAAGAATGGTTTAGGCGGAAACGGTTTTGGCTTATTGGGTTCTACGAAACCAACCAATGGCGTTGGAACGTTTATTGAATATTGTCAAATCGAAAAGGATATGGTGGTAAACGTTCCGGCTCATTTGAATAGCCTTCAAGCAGCTTGTCTTCCGTGCGGAGGTGTGACTGCTTTTCGCGCTTTATTCACCAAAGCAAAAATTGAGAAAGGTCAATCCATTTTGATCACTGGAATTGGAGGAGGTGTTGCTATCCTTGCTCTTCAATTTGCCGTTGCAAGAGGTGCAAATGTTTTCGTTACAGGTGGAACGCAAGAAAAAGTGAATCGAGCCATCGAATTGGGCGCAAAGGGTGGCGTACTTTATCGTGAAAAAGATTGGCCAAAACGATTAGCAAAGATGGTCAAAGATGAAATGGTTGAAAGGCCATATTTAGACGCTGTGATTGATAGTGCGGGAGGTGAAGTACCAGCTCAAGCAGCTATAGCAGGTTTAAAGAATGGCGGAAAGATTGTTTGTTATGGTATGACTGCTTCTCCAAAGATGACGATCACAATGCGTGAAGTTTTGCGAAATGTTGACGTGATGGGTTCAACGATGGGAAGTGCGGAAGAGTTTAAGGAAATGATTCATTTTATTGATCAAAATAAGATCGTGCCTGTGATCGATACCGTTTTAGATGGTTTGCAAGAGGCGAAGTCAGGTTTCGCGCTTTTACAAGATGCCGATAAACGTAGCGGAGGAAAAGTTGTCATTAAAATTGCTCAAGATACAAAAGAACGTCAAAGTAGAATGTAAAGAAGTGTAACTCTTCTTCTTGTCCCATTCATATGTCGTTCAATCGATTATATTATATGATAATGTTTTTACTTGTCGTGCTTTTAAAGTCAAGATCTCTTTCATAGCGCAGCGCATGGCGCGCTAAAGGCGTCAAGGATAAGAAGGGCCCTATCTTAATGTACACTTTAAGTGTATATTCATTATCTTATAATTTTGAGTGGGGTAATGCACTTCTAAAAAGTAACAGAATTGTGATCAAGATAAGAAAGTGATCGAGATGACAAAAGAAGTTGAAATATGTTGAATAATTTGAAAACATCCTTCTCCCCTACCAAGTCATTCCAAAAACAGAGAAAGAATTGAAAGCTTGTTCATCATCGTGCCATCAATATATCCAAAGCATATAAAACCTCAACAATTTATAAATCGGATTGCGTCTTTCTCTTTGCAAAATCCACCATTGACATTTCGCAAAATATGTCAGGTGCACATCTTGCTAAAGGAGCGTCATGGGTTTCTCAAATCACAACATTTACATATTTTGGGCTGGATCCAGTGGCTTGCATAGCATGTATGGCATGTGTAGCGATCCTACTTCGTCTCTTTTTGACAAAATCTCAAAAGCATACAGACCTCGCAAGTCTTACACATCCTGAAAAGCAAGTACGGAAAACTTTAGGCAATAGACAATGGTCTCTTCCAGAGCCTCAATCTTATCGTATGATCTGCTCCACAGACTCTCCCAAATTTCGACCTTTCCGATATGGTGATTATAAAGTAACGATGGGAATTCGTTTCATTCCTGAAGTTCAATGGTTCCAATTGTATAGATCTTATCCGGCCTACATACGTTTACGCCAATTGCGACACAAGAACAAAGGAAGAGAATGTTGTGACATCGTTCCACATCCCAAACAAAGGAATATTTTGGCAGCTTTAGAAGTAGCTCGTAGTATTTCAGCTTATTTGAACGCCCGTTATCCGGACCTTTTTCGAATTGAATTATGTCACGGAGCCAAAGATGCCGGAAATTTCGGTGAAAATGTTCGTGCGATCCAACGTTTAGAGTGCAAGGATGGTATCAATCTGCCTTTTAAAAGGTGGCCTCTGCCAAATATTGACGATAGTAACGCTTTGCAATCAGAACAAATTGATCCTTCTTCGTATAATCCAATGGCTGTCGCAGGAGAGTTGGTTCCCGATGATTTGGCTTTGCTATTGCCTGATGATGACGCCGTCCCTGATGATCGAGGGGCGGTACAATATAGGCTTATAGCTGGTAGCATTTGTACAGCTGGCTTTTGGCGATTACGTGACAAGTTGAATAGTACATTACAAGAGATTCATACGTCTGGCAAAGTTCCGCAATTTGCTGAGCGTCTTCGTGATCCTTTAGATCGTTTCTTCACAAAAATGGAAGCCGGAAGTGGTCGTTTATCAGAGAGGAATAATTATTTCTTCCAAGTCGTTCGAAAGGAGGATTCGATGAATAAGGTTTATCAATTGCGCGACGGTACATTGGTGCCAGACGTTCTCAACGATACAAAATCCTCCATTGAAGAAGAACAACTGGACGATCGTACAGAATTGACTTGGGGCTTGAGCACAAATGGTCCGGAAGATCTTTATGACGCTTCAACAAAAGGTCCGATCGATGAAGCAGGAACGGTGAAAGTTGATTCAACATTAGGTCCAGTCGATCTTTCAACGCCAATACAACGACCACAAGATTTGGTCATGCGAACTGAAAGGCAAACATTGAGAAAGTTACCAAAAAGTGGCGCAGTTCTCTTCACGATTCATACCCACATGGTCCCAATTGAAGTAATGGCAAAAGAGCCTGGCATTCCCGGTCGATTGGCGTATGCAATGCGCAATTGGCCCGAAGATGTGGCTTGGTATAAAGCAGCATCTCTTTATCGAGAAGGCGTTTTACCTTTTCTAGATAAAGCTCATCAAGATCAAATTCGATCTGGCATCGTCGCAACACAGGAAGCGGAGGAAGAGCGAAGCAAAAAGTCTTATCCATTCTGAATGCGAATAAAGTCAAAAGCAAACATTCTCTCTAGTAAAGATGCGCAAGATGGCCAGTGCGCTGCGGTATGTAGGTGATCTATTGCATTGTTGGTAATATACATTGTTTATTGTCTTGAAATGCTCCTTTCCTGATGTACATCGCAAGGTATACTGTTAAATTAAGATTTCTCAATAATCTCTCTTCTCTTGTGATCATTGATCGTGTTTACTGATCCAAATACGAAGGTCCGAAGGGACTTCTAGGCCAAACGTTTCCATGTCAATGTTAATCAATCTGAAAAATTCCAAAAACGAAGCGTCTTGTTGAAGGAGACGTTCATCAAAACAACCACGATCTTCACCTTTTTCACGGAAAACGCAAAGTAAGCTCCGATAGAATGGATGATCAGGTCGCTCTGACGGCACAATTTGCGAAGTTGGAATGGGCGACACTTTATTCAGGTTGAAATTCTCGAATGCCTCTTTTACGGTTGTGTAGGAGGAATGATTGTTTTCTTGATTTGACAACCAAAAATCTCTCATTTGAAGATATCTTAATCGTGTAACTTTTCTAGCCACTAAACTTCCATCATTTTTCCAACGATTTGCCAGTTCTGGATCGATATTCGGATTACGTCCCAATTCATATGCCCAACCGACTACAGTCCTTCTGGATCGTAAAGAAAGTGCAAGCCTATGTCCTCTCTTTGCACCATAAATCCTTGGACCCACAGAAGAAGGCAGACAATCGATCATAGCGCTGTAAGCTTTCAAACGTGCATTCCTTTTGAAGTCACGCCTAACCTCCATTGCGTATAATCCATTCAACATTGTCAATGCACGGACGGTGACATAATTTTCCACGTTTCCTTCTGCATAAGCTTGTCGCTTTATCACTCGTAGCCATAATCTCCAAATTCGTTCAGCAAGGCCGGTATTTCCTTTTTCAACAGCAAAATGTAGAGCTGCTACAAGTACGGACGGATGAAATTGCAGTGGAACATGACTTTCATCAAGAAAATCAAAGTTAACCTTCTCCTTCTCATCAATTGCCTGAGGGTCACTATGAAGAGATCCAAGTTTCCTTTCGCGTTTTCTAGTTGCTTTGAGCTTCCGTATTCGCACACGTTTAATCGGTTTTCTAGGTCGATCGATTTGAAGGGATGGATAAAGCAACACAATAACCTTTTGCGCAGAGATTTGAGCAACATCAAGAAGCGCTTTATTTTTTCCATTAAGCGGACGAGGATACAATGATGCAAATCTGGCCGCATCTAGCAAAGCAATAATTCGAGCTCGATCGTTGGAGATGGCAGCATACCGTAATAAACTGCACATAACAGAATCCGCATTATATCTTCTGCGGTCAGACTTCGTTCTTATATATTTGCTCAAAGACAAATGAGCTGCTAGTATGGCCGATCGAAGAAGTTTTGCATCCCTCAATTTTACCGAGTTCCCAATGAGGATCGTTAATGTAATCTCATCAGGTTGCGGTGCATCATCGGAAGTAAGCATGTTATCGATCAATTTGGATGCCATTCCCACCGAAGCTTTGCCAAAAAGCGGAGAAGAGACCATGAAGTTATGCAAAATCATGTTGAAAACTCCTATGCCTGAATTTTTTGGAAGACAAGCTCGGTCTATTTGGTCATTGACTTCAATGCAGTGCTCCAACCAAGAACGAAATTTGAAGGAAAGTCGTACCACTTTCTCTTTTTCTTCTGATTCGAAGAGGTGCCAATATATAGGATTTTCAAAGAGCCTTATCGAGTTGAACAAGCATCGCAAAATAGTCGTGAAATTTTTCGTATGCCATGGAGATGATCGTGTAGAACAAAGCTTTCCTACACCTCGAGATGATATCGAAAGTATACGATCAAATGTCTCCAAGAGCTCTTTAAGCTTCTCTTGAAGTATCATCGCATCTGCCTCATTTTCATCGATCAAAATTTTGGTCACCAGGCGAAGTTGATATCGAAAGGACTGGGTGACCATCTGTTGCAAAAGTACAACATGCTTGTTTGTTGAATTGCAATACGCCATTTCATCCAATAAAAGTTGCACAGTGGAGGAAGTTTGCGCGCTTTTTGCATATGCCTGTGCTATCATCCTTATCGATGCATCAATGACGGAGCTGGCACTATTGAACGATTCAGTCGAAGTTCGGAATCGATTCCATTCCATAGAAAGTGGACGCTCCCACGCATTGTGTGGTACTTGCCTTAAAAGTAGCCTGAGCTCCATTGCTATTGATTCGTGCTCTTTGCTTATGAACTTACGTGAGAAACTGTACAGATTGACGCTTTCAGAAGTGAGATCGTTGAATATGTCGTAGAGAATTGGTGTTAAATCTTGCAAAAAAGGGCCGGATGAAAGAACGGCCTCCTCAAGAATCATTGCTTCTTCCTCATCCAGTTTGAGCGGTTTTTGATTGGCTCCGTTTTCCATCGACCGTTTTTCCCTCCTTCTTTTATGCCAAGCATCGCTTCCGTCCGCACTCTCAAAATCCATGTCTAATAAGTCCATTTCCCATTGCAAAAGATCTTGCATCATCCTTGCACAGACAATTACCCCATCCCGACCAATGAGCGCACCAATTGTTCGAATGACATGCGCATATCCGCTACGAATAAGATATGTTTCGTACGATAGTACATCAATGTCAGATTTCAACGATGATCGTTTGACCAAGTCCACGTAAATGCGGGTAGCCTGAAAAAGATGATCTTTTGCTGTCCAAAAAGAGTTCGCATCGGAAGAACCTCTGGAGAGCACAATAGCACGATCGCAATGATTGAGTAAATTTTCAAGCGCTTCTTCACTGACTATCCTGTCCGTTCTTGGAGAGAAGAATTGCACAGCTTGAGAATTCATTCGTTGATGCACAAGTGTTGAGGACCCACTTTTATTTGATGTACATCTTGTGTGACTAACTTCATCGTCCTCTTTGTCATCCCTCTCGCTTTCGGTATACCTTTCATTGTTGCCATAGAATCGCTTCGGGAGCTCTGTAAAAGAGTATATTGAAGGGCGGAAAGGCTGTATAGTACTCTTTTGTGAAGAATGAATGCGCGAGGAATGGCCGAGTGATCTTTGCATGCTAAAAGCATACCCTATCCCTCTTTGCGTCCATATAGACATACCTCTTTTATCTCCTTCAACTCCTCCCTCCTCCCGGTAAAGGTAATGGTAGAAAGAAGGCAAAGATGAAACACAATCTTCTCTGGTAAGTCGTTTAGCGTGCACTTTCACCTGAAATTAATTTGGCGCGTAAAATGAGTGATGGGGTTTCATGGTATTTTTGTCTTCCCGAATCCTACAAATCCAAGGTGATCATCTCATGAATAAAAAGACTTAGGTGATAAAAGATGTTTATCGTAGCAGTAAAAATATGATACAGCTTCTTTCTCTGCGAGAAAAGAAAAGAGCAGGCAAGAATGGCAACGTCCTTGTGTGAATAAGCCGATCAATACAGGACAAAAGTGAATCAATTGGCAGGTTCTTTGCAAGGTAATTTGGATGCAGTAGTTGATTCTCCTGAAGCAGGCATAAGCAGAAGTCCGATCGCATTTTGTGCATGTAAGAAATTCGCTCCATCCTTCATCGTTGTGGGCAAAGGTGGTGAGGGTGGAATAGATTGTCGGATTGTTCTATCGTCTTCCGATGAGTCTCGAATTGCGGGTAAAGGTTTATTCCGATAATCAAATTCATCAATTTCAATCGGTTTCGCTTTGGGTGTTTCTTCGTCCATCTCCGATCCTCCGCGTGCGAGTATAGTTCCATCGTTGGAAAAGGTATCATACCCACGTCGAATAGGCGGTCTAGGAAAGATGTCATCATTGGCAATCAATAGCATTCCTAAACTGCTTCTTTGACTTTCACGATTTGGAAATAGGATTGATGTGTTCACCGTACTGCCACTGGATGCTCGGCTATTATCAGTGACGGCCGGTGAAGCTTGGATGTATGCGAGTAAAGTGGACTTTGTATTTTCGTGCTTTGGTGTTGAAGGAGGATTGAGAGATGAATCTTGTTTGCCGTTTTGCGAATGATTTGAATCATCTCTGGAGGAATTCAAACTATTACTTTCCCTTCTATGCATCTCATTAACCGCCATAGCACTTTGATAACTGATACTTTGAGACAATAAAGATCCTTCCTCAAACGAAACATCGGATAAGATGCTGGACATTGTGTTATACGGAACTGTCAATCCGAAAGCAGGTGATAATACCGCAGCTGATTCGGCCATATCAGCGTTTGAATCAATCTCTGTACTGACTCTCTGGTCTTGAATGTTCATTAGTGCTGATGCTGGTTCGCTACTTCGCGCATTTGCCAATCCCAACAAAGACAATCGAGCTCCCAAAAACGGATCTCTTTGTTTTCTTCTTCCGTAGGCGGCCATATTTGCTTTTCTTTTCGCTCTCCTATGTTGGACTTGGGCAAAGCCCGAAGGATCGATTTGGAAGGATTGCATCGGCTTAAGACGGCCAAGCCTCTTCAATTGATTTCATCAGAACGTCATTTAATGCAATGATGAAAGAGGGAGGAGTATAAGTTATGCATAAAGTCACGCATCTGTTCCGGCGCGCGTAGACTAACATTTCATGTCCGCGTCCAGCTTGATCACTTGTCCCTACGGGATTGATTAGCATGAATTCCTAATGTACATACTTGGCAAGACGTGACGCATGAATTCGATCGTGATGTGCCATATGGCTTAACAGTCACAGTGACTACAACATCAATCAAAAAGATCGCACGGCCAAGCATACATTCAAAGAATGCAGCGTGAGTGTATGCATCACAATGTCTGCTTTTTGAAAGATTTGAACTCTCCCCCTCCCCCTTTCAACCGTTACCACCTCACAACTGACTAAATCCACGTGCTTTCCATACTTGCTTTAGATGAGATCTCACCAAAAAGCGGGTAGTGGCGACAAAATATAACTTTAACCGTCTTATGAGCATATTAGATGGCAAGCGAAACTCAGACGCATAATTTCAGGAAGGAATAATGCAACACTTTAATCTCTTTTACGATTCTTTTTACGACATTCTGGCAAATGGGTTTCCAGTCATATTGGCAGGTATTGGAGCAGATGAAGGCGAACTTCCATTGACTGCTAAATTTTGACCAAAGCTACTCTCAGGCTTGAATGGCTTGACCGTGCTTCCTCCAAATCCGGTCGGTTGAGGTTGAAGGGGGGCAGAATCAGAAGGAGTACCGAGTGATAAACCTGAGAAGCCAGAAGAAAGAGCATTCGTGTTTGATGTCTGTTGTGGAGTGAAAGAAGACTGGGAAGGAGTTGATTGAAATGGCTGTGAAGCTTGAGGTTGTTGTGATGGCTGTGATGCTTGGATCTGTTGTGAAATGTGAGCCGGTAGGCTGGAGAGGAAAGATTGAGAGGGTTGAAAAGGCTGTGCTTGCGATGATGTTGTTCCAGTAGGTCCTGACGTAAAAGATGGGCTGACTGAATTGTTTGTTGGAGTACTTGATAGGACTTCATGATTGCCATTTGTCGTTGGAGCTCCAGAGATAAATTCAGATGCAATATTGCCAATCAAACCTGTCTTTTGTGGAACGAGCGATGAATTGGAATTTTGTGCTTGCTGCGATTGGGCTTGCGATCCATTCCAAGCACCCGCACCTAGTCCATAATTACCGCCTCCCCCCTCTGTCGGCCCTTGAGTACCTCCTGTACCGCCGTATGCCAATTCGAACAAGGTCGGTCCTTTGGCCGAAGCAGGTTCTTTTGGTGGTGGTGTAGATCCTGGCGGTGGCGCAAAAGGATTCCGAGAACCAGTCTTTTGCGGCAAGAGTGCTTTGGGTAGCGGAACACTAGCAGATCTTTCAGGGCCATTGTCTGTAGCTGTCGATGGAGCAGGATTTTGTTCCTTTGCGGCATCGCTGGCATTGAAAGTGTTGAAGAAGGGGCCTGCGGTATTTGATTGTGCTCCGAATGATTGTTGTTGTTGTGGTTGCTGGGGTAGTCCTGTTGGCTGCATGCCAAACATGTTTCCTGCGCCAAATGCACCACCTGTCGGCTGCATCATTACACTCTGTCTGAAAGGATTCGCGCCTGTCATTTGAGGTGAAAGGAATCCACCTTGTGCAAATCCTGTTAATTGTGGTTGTTGCAAGAATGCCGTTTGTTGAGGCGCAATAAAATTGGATTGCTGTCCAAAGAACGGATTATATCCTGTCATTTGAGGAGCCATCATCGCAGGTTGGAAACCAGTTGCTTGTGGCATCATAAAACCTTGTTGTTGTGCTCCAGGTCCAAACATACTCATTTGGTCTGTTTCGATACTTTCAAAGAAATCTTGCAATGCTTGATTGGAGGTAGGAGGTTTGACCGGTTTTGCCTTTTCTTCTGCTGAGGGCTCCTGAATCGTGATGCTCTTCTTTGATGAAGATGCAGGTAGTTCACCCTTTTTCACTTCCGCATTTTTGCTCGCTGACTTGATACCTTTTCCATCTGCAACACGTTTGTTCTCCTTGTATTCTTGTCGATTCTTCTCAAAGTTCGGATCGTCCAAGTATTCTTTCAAAGCACCTGCTAAACTGACAGGAGCATGTCGCAAATTTGGAATGTTTATATTGAGATGATGTGAGATTTTTCTTGCGGATGCGAGAAAAGCAACGATCTTTTCTGTGTGCGTGCAAAATCTTTTGTATACTTCCAATGCATTTGTTGCGTCCACTTTTGACATCTCAAAGTAGTGTTCCAATACGTTGATCACGCCTTCATTGATTGCAGCATAGACCGCCAGTAAATCTTTTAAACTCATCCTGAATGCTGTAAGTGCCAGCTCTTCTCGAGTATTCTCGCCGGAAAAGAAGGCAAAGAAAACATCCAAAAGTCTACTACAAACTTTCTGACATACACCAACTTCACGCAATAATCCTTTCTCGACCGTCAATCTTCTGAGGCGTAGACCTGATTCTGCTCCTTCACTTCGATCACCTCCACGTGTTCGTGCTGCATCTGCTGCTCTTATCACATCATGTCGTAGCTCTCTGTATGCTTTGATACGATCGTCGAGATAAGCTGCATACGGTGACAATATCCGAGGAGCATCATATCCTTGCCAATTACCTCCTTGAATAACGTTGCGTAATCTCAAAGATCCTTGTCCACTTCCAGACATTGCCGAGAGGACGTTATCGACACCACCGTTTCTTATTAGCGTATGAATCACTATCAAGCTTCGCATTACCACCAAGCTGCTGCTATCGTTCAAACGTGAAGATAGAGCTTTACACATATCCTGTAGTGAGCCGTCTTGGCTAAAAGAACTTGCAATGATTGGGTCGATATACTTGGCCTTGGGAGCGCCAGGTTTAGGCTTCGTAGCCTCCTTTATTAACTTTTCGTATCTGGACATGATCTATAGGTCTTTGAATGGGTTTCCTTTCCTTGTGGAGGTCTTGTGCCTTTACAATTGGTGTATTTGATCAAGGTGAGTGTAAATTCCTATTTGATAAACTTTATCGGAAATGAAACCTTTAGAGAGGAATGATGAAAATGAAAGGGTATATGTGTGAAAAAGAGATGGATGTAAGAAGCTCGAAGTGAATGCCCTGATTCAAGAAGATGTATGCATCGGCACACATACATACTTTCTGACTTGCTTCTTTTTGGGCTGGAAAGGAATCTCCGCACACAAACAGACATACCCACAAGTCAAGCAAGCCGCCGAGTGTGTGTGTGTGCACTTATTCCATGCCACGCGCCTGCGCTGCGCAACGTAATGTATGTACTTTTGTACTGTCGGCGCCTGTTGAATTTATCTTTTTGTTGGACACCGAAGTTTTAAGCAACACCCAAAGCACCGCACAGACTTGCGTTCCTTTTTCTTCTCCTTCTTCTTCTTCTTCTTCGCATTTCCATTATCATTTTTACCTGATCGTGACTTAACAAAGATCGATTTGATATCATATGGTATTACCACTGCATGATCATCATGATGACTATACAACGACCGATCACGATAATGACACAAAGGTAAAGGTAAAAAAGGGATTCTTACGTAAATCGTTCGACGTTCTTTTCACTGATGGTCGCGGTACGATACATATACTACGATGGACGGGATTTCTGATCGTTTTATGGAATGAAAGGCTCGCATTCCTTCTCACTTCTCTACGTTGCATTCCCTCAGATCATGCTTCTACTTCCAAAGATCCAATTTCTAATCCAGGTGTACACCGAATGATGATCACAATCTTGGCAGATCCACAATTGATCGATCGAGAGTCGTACGAACATTTGAATGATTTACCCCTAGGTTTAAACAAGGTGGCATATAAAGTCGTTCGCTGGGCCGCAAATACGTACGTACGCAAAGCCTTCCAAGCAGTTGTTCGAATCCAAGGTCGTGCTCAAAGCGATTCAGTGATTTGGTTGGGCGATCTGTTGGATGGCGGAAGAAGAGCGGTTAATACAAACGAAGACGTACTACAGTACGAACGCCATGTTTCAAGGTTCAAGAGCCTATTTCCGGAACGTGTTCCGACTGTCTATGTTCCTGGAAATCATGATATTAGGATACCCTTGACGCACAATGTCATTTTCGAAGGTGAAAGTCTAGAATCTCGTCGACGTTGGTTACAATCTTGGGGGACGTGGTATGACGTTGAACGCAAGAGGTACACTTGGTCTGTCGGGCAATCGGTCAAAGACACCGGTGCTCAATTGCATCATACGATCACAAGTAGAAACACCAAAGGAGGTAAAAGAGAACACATCGATTCGCTTTACCAGAAAAGAGAAAAGCAAGTTTTTGATCAACATCAAAAGAGAGCACCTCTTCCTTCCTTTTCACAGAAATCACCTTCACAAAGAGTGATCTTGCGACCGAAAGGCGGCCCTCAACGGATTGTAATCGAATCGAATGACTGGAAGAGAACGGTAAATGCTCGGTTTCCATTGTACTTGAACAGCAACAGTGAAAATCCAACGCATGAAATCGCATTAGTGGATGCCTTGCACCTTGCAGGAATGTCACCTGCTACTTCATCTTTCGACAATAAGGAACAAGAAGATTTGGATTCGGCATGGTTGAAACAACACGATCATCTTGATTTTCAACAACAGATCAAAGATTCACAATGGTATAAAGAGGGAAAGACACGATTTCCAGAGACGATAGACTTTATCGAAGGCATACAAAGCACATCTGCAGCAAGCACTTCGGACGTACAAGAGCCTGTGCGAATCTTGATTTCGCATATACCTCTTCATAGACCAGCTGGCACGCCATGTTCAACGCAGCATTCTCTCACGAGTACGAATAGCTCAGATCAAGCGGTCCGCATCGATGATCAAGGCTGGCATAGAGAATCCTTTCATAGGGATAGTATCGAACAAGGCGTTGATCAGTATGCAACTTATCAAAACGCTTTGGCAAGACCGGTATCCAAATGGCTCTTACATCATTCCAATGCAAAATTGATCTTTTCTGGAGATGATCATGATCATTGTCACGTTCGACATCAATATTCGCAAGAGGATGATCAACAAGGCCATTTTGCTGAAGAGTTAACATTAAAAGCTTTCAGCATGACCGGAGGTGTACGTAAACCTGGTTATGCAAGATTGCTTTTGAATTGGGATGATCAATTGCAAAAAGCCAGTGCGATCGCCATGCCTTGTGCTTTACCTGATCAAATTGAGATTTGGACAAAAGTGTACCCTTTGAGTTTATCAGCATTAATCTTGTTTTTGATTATCGATCGTAAATGGATATTTGGGAGAGGAATAGATCGATGGATGAGAGATAAAATGATCGGATTTCATTCTTCTTCTAATGCATTTCCCATCACACCCCTTCGCTCTACAACGGGTGGATTCGAAGCAAGGGCTAGAAGAGAAATCAGAAGGACAGCTATGCTGAATAGACCAATTTTTATAGAAAGGAATATTCTACGAGAAGTACGGGGGATGATTTTGCTACCATTGATAGTTTGGCTTTGGTTACAATTGTTTTAATATGATCATCAATTTCATTATCAAGATAGCAGGCTGTCCGTTGAGCATAAGGTATGTAAGCCAAATGAAGATCGCAATTCACTAAACATGAATTATTCGTTTGTAAGCAACGGTTGGTTGTCTAGGCGAAATCGCGGCTTTTCATGCAAAGGCGCTAAAGTCTTTTACACGAATAAAGAATGTCAAATTGACGCAAGACTGACGCAGAGCCTATTTTATTCATTCCCGGCGGTTGATGCGGCACTGTTATTTTTGTCTACAGTAAAAACGCGTAATTCTCTTACTGTGGTCAAGTGCAATAGTTTTCCTTGTGCCAAGCTTTTCCGGCGGGACGAGGGATGGACTTTGCATGCGGCTCAACGCCAGTATACCCAGGCTGATTGTGGTTAAAGCGGGTATGACAACAGTGTAATATTAATTCAAACTTCGGGCTCCTTGTTTTCCACTGATTTCAGGCATGAGTTTTCTATTTGCAGCATCTTTACTGTCAAAAATAGGCACATCTCGCCAAGCTTTGTGAACCAAATGAAGAAACGTGGACGGAATTGCATCAGAGCACTTTAGAAGTATTTTATTTTTGGCAGATTTATTCTTAAATCCTTCTCCTAGTACACTTTTCAGCCGCATCGCCGCTGACGGGAAAAGAGGGAGAAAATCTTACAATTCTTCCTCTGATTTAGTGACTAGAATGACATACCGAAGGCATCTATATACTTTTTTATTTTAATTTGATATGCTGTTTAGCCGCCATCGTTGATTTTGACGGCGCGGCGGCAAAGTAAGGAACAAAAAGAAAGGATAGCCACGATAAATGCACCTTCTTATTTGTATGCAGAAGGCACAAGACCTGTCTCTTTTTTCGTTTAAATGTCATTCAATTGTTTTGACAGTTTAAATCTTTCCGTGTATCATTTCACAGCCTCCCCATACTCTATCCTTTACCGTAGGACTTGAAGCATATCGGGCTTGGCAAAAAGAGAATCGCAAGTTCTTGGTATTGGCTTGGCTTGCATATGGAAAAGCAAAAGGACTGATCAAGTGCCTAGAAGTAGCTTTGCCAAGGTGGAGAATGGTTACCTCTCTTTAAGGAACATTCACCGTTCAAATTGAATAAACAAAACTGTCCTTTCTCCCTTCCACATCGCTCCATTCAAACGCTAGATTTCGTTATCGTACCAAGCATTCTTATTGTGCTGTTCTGCCTTGCTATATCGTTTCCCCGATAACGCAATTCCTACTTTGCAAAATAGGATCTTTTGGACAGCTATTTGTTTGACATCTTTGAGGAACGTGGAACCCTACATTTCCCCATTTTGGATTCGAATATATTTCCTTCATTCTTACTATCATCATCTTTTTCGACAAACACGATCACCATTTCTTTGATTACACTGTAAAGTCATCATGATGGCAACTTCTAACGCATTTATGCCGCATTTACATCAACCGAGTCATTATCACTCTCATCATCATCATCAACAAACACAACAACATCCCTCTCAGCTCCATGCATCATTATGGCAATCTGCACCCAGAGCTTCTACTTCATCAACAACTTCTTATCCGTCTCACCATTCTGAAATGTCGAAATTTGAACAATCAACTCAACAATTGCAACAAGCACCCGCTTTAGTCGCAACAGGAAAAAAGCGTAAACGTTTACAACGTGCATGCGTTGCTTGTCATAAAGCGAAGAGACGTTGTGATGGTGGCTTGCCTTGTTCAAATTGCGATTTTAGTGGAAGAACTTGCGCTTATAGCGATTCTCAGGGCAAAGCTGTTCCACCGACCAAAAGAACTCTACGACCAAGCGAAGCAGCCATGCAAGAACAAAATGTTCAACAGCAATATCAACAAGCACATCCGGCTATCCATGACGGTTATGCTAAACCGATTGGATCTTCTCAATCACCTTCTCCTACTTCACCATCTTCTTTACAATCTTTTGCGCTTAACGGAACAAACTCAAGCGGATTTGGTGGGGAACGGTGGACATCACAATTGGATTTAGCATGGTCAGCCATTCATACTTTTGCCGATGCTGCTTCTATGATGATGCAAGGTGCTATGGAAAGTGAAGGAAAGAACGAACGAGTACAGTTACCTCTAACTGTTGCGCATAATTTGGCGGTAATTTTGGAACGAATGAATGAACAGCATGCACTTATAACTGAACATATGACCGCAATGGGAGTCGCAATGCTGAAAACAAGTTGTTCAGCAGCTTCCGAAGCATCTTCTTCTCATCACGATCATCATGCTTGGTCTGATTTGGAACGTAGATCCGATCGATTACAAATGGACGTTCGAATGGATTCTGCTCGATTGTCTGAAACACAAAGATGGTTATCCAGCGGAGGAACAGTAGCATACCGTCAAAAAGATGGTGGTTCTTCTTCTTCTCAACAAAGATCTTCATGGTCCAATTCCCCTCCCTCACGATCTAGGACGTCATTATCACCCGTTCAAGCTCCTTCGAACGGACAAAGCAGCTCAATGTTGAATATGCCACCTCTGAAATCACGTCATAGTAGTACCTCTAGTTCTACTACAAATGGTTCAAGTGTAATGACTATAGGTCAACAAATGGGACAAGAACAAGCACCTTTTCTTCCACCACTCTCTGGCTTGAGTAATGGAAAGAGCAAACCTCATACTCTACCACCACTTCGATTTCCCTCACCATCTAATGCAGAAGAGTCAAACGCAATCCGTCGAACAAGCAACGACAGCGATGGAGGTGTTAAGTGGACTCCGTTGAGCACACTTTCTCATGGAAGTATGTATGAGCGTATGCGTGCATGAAAGTAGTTTTCATTGTGACCGTTTTAATTCATAGAGATAGTTACTTGTTTGAATAATGATTTTTTTCTTCCGACTTCATTTTCGCGAGAGTTTGAATTTGACTAATCGTCCAAAGATTCGGAGAAACGTAAACGATAAACAATCAATTCATAAAATGAGTGCACAGATGTAGCTGTGGTTGCAAAATGAAATGGATAAATGATTAGCATTATGAGATCATACAAGATTGTATAAAAAGATGGTTGAGATATCAGCGAATCAGCCAAGAATGTAAAAAGCCAGAGAATCCCAACAAACCAGCCACCCAGAATCCCAAATGATAGTTAAAAGGCCAAGAATGCGTTTCATAACCACCTTCAACGCCTTTTGCCCACAACATTCCGCCTACCAATGGACCAACAAAACGTGCCGCCGAACTTGTCGTTTGTGCTAAGCCATTTGCCAATGGAACCAAATGTGGTTGTGTAGTAGCATTCATCAAAATGCTCACAGATGTGAAAGAGCAAGTATTAGCCAATAAACGTAAAGAGGCAAACAAGATCATAAACGACATCACAATCGCATCTGTGGATGGATGCAAGAATGCACGCAAAGAAGCAAACAAGACGTAAACCGGCAAGTATAAGCTGGTGCCTAAACGCATCATTGAAAGATGAGAAAATTTTCCCTGTGGCGGTCCAACTTTTGGATAAAAGTAGAATTGGGATCCAATTTGAAAGAATGCCAGAGCTGCAATTAATTCTGCATAATGTGCTGCCGTCAAGCCAAGACCGCCAGATTTGAAAGGTGTAACGAGATAAGCCATAAACACCTGATCAAATGTAGAAGAATGAAGGCTTAACAAAGCATAATGCGCGATGAAAGTTAGAGGTAATTGTCGTAATAGAGATTGTTGTTGAGCCTCAATAGCACGTTGTCTTTGCACACTCGTTGCTGCTAATGAAATTTGCGATCGATCTCCTCCGCCGTATTGTCCGTACTTCGTACCATTTTTATCTATTCGTATCGTTCCAGAAACACTTGCCGATTCTGGAATCCCTGCCAAAGTTGGATCATAGCCAGCAGTAGCACCTGCGCCTTGAATGCCAGATCCGTTTGCATCTTCTGCAAAGTGAATTCCAGGTGACATTGGTCTTTGCAATGCTTGAACGATTTGTGCACTTTCAACGCCTGTGTTGCTATAAACACTTGGAATTCGATTATTATTGCTTCCTCTTCTTGTCATAAACGGTCTCGAGCCTCGACTGCTTGCTCCTGTCGAGTTCAGACGATGGCGACGTGCAAAATTGAGTGGAGGTAAATGGCGAGGCATCAAGGGAGAATCTTCATCTGTTTCATCGTGTCCGAAAGCCATTGAACCTGTCGATTCGTGTGCAAGAGATCGATCAAAATCTGATCCCTCATCTATCAAACTATCATCAATCTCTTCTCTTTCTTCTTCCTCTTCTTCTAAACGAGATCTGTCTATCGTATCCTCCTCATCTCCGTAGTCGTATCCGAAGTCATCATCTTCATCGTCTGCATACGTCTCATCATTATTGATAGCTGCAGCAACCCAAAGGTCCGACAGTCCTAAAACAGCATCATCATTTGCCAATAGGAATCGTTGAGCAAAGCTCAATTGTCTGGGCTTTCCATCTGATCCTTCATTACCCAATTGTTCAAAATCAGGGGCATATTGGGTTGTGGATAAAACGCTTGTTCGATTATTGATCAAACCGGTGGACGTCTGCTGCGTTGAGTTTCTTCGATTTTCGCCTGCTGCATTTGAGCTGACGTCTAATTGCGAAGGTGCGATTCCACCAAAACGACTTCCTCCTCCTCCCGCTCCCGTTCCTGTATAGCTTGAAAGAGGCGCATTGCCTTCATAACCATAGGCAGAGCCACCACCAAGAATACTTCGATGTCGTGCTGTTGTTCTTGACATCGGACGCGGACGATTACGCGCAAAAGCTGGTCTACGATGATCATCAAATCCAGACGTTCCGGCTCGGGTCGTGGTGATGATTGTGCCTTCCTCATCCGAATCGTGTGGAGAAGGTGGACCTCCAGTTTCGTCTTCTACTTGCTGCGTAAAGGTTCGTGGTAAGCCGTCATTGCTATAACTTGGGCCCGCCATTTCTGCACCTCGCAAGCTGACCAACGATTCACCCAAGGGGGTTGTGGGGGTATGAGAGCCATCTTGTCCGCCTTTAAAATATCCACTGATCTTCTTGCTAGCAGTTCGTCCAAAGCTTCCTAAATTTGAAGCAGTACGATGGCCAGCACGTTCAATATCCGGCTTTTCCGGCAAATGAATAGCTCCCGTCCTTGGCCCACCATCAGGGCCGATGAACAGCGTCAAAAATGCACCAGTCGCAGTGAAAGAGGCAACGACTAAGCAAGGAAGAACGTAAGGATAATGCTTCAGAAATTCATTATTGCCGAAAAGCCATGGAAATTTATCCGTCGGATTGCACAAAAGACCGCCCATCAATGGTCCAACAATACCGCCCATTCCCCAAGCAAATCCCAATTGAGCCATAGCACGACCTTCGTTTGTCTCATCCGTAAGATCACGTACCGCACCTTTAGCCACTCCGACAGCGCCGTTGAACAAACCTTGTGCTAGACGAACACTGATCGCCATACGTAAATTGGTCGACATTCCAAACAAGATCAGAGAGATCGAGTTGCCAACCAAAGAGACCAAAAGAACTGCACGTCTTCCATGCTTTTGAGCGATAGATGCCCATAGTAAAGAAGTTAAAAATTGAGCAAAGAAGAAAACTGAGGCTACCACTCCTGCCCAATAGCCCACTTCGCCTTCACCCCCAACGTTGAATGATTCGATTTGAAAGAACAAAAATGGACCTGCAACTCCTGCACTACTAAATTCACCAAAGCAAACGAGGCATAACACTACAAAAGGAACTGTTGGAATAGGCGTGCTATTCGGAGACGATTTTGCTGGCATCAAAGAGGGAATTCTTGGCTTGCGCTCCCATTGTGACATATCTGGTTCGTTTCCGTGCAGATCTTGATGTCCGTTTACGCTGATCGTATGAATTCTTCTCAAATTTCGATTTCGTGCCATTTGCGAAGCCGATCGACCGCCATCACCAGATGGTGCATTGGAAGCATTACTAGGTAAAGCTCTACCAAATGCGGCCATGGAAGCACGTTTCAAGAATCCGTTTCCACCTCCGCCACCTTGACTTGGCGATTCGCTTCCGGTCATACTTCCGCCTACAGATTGTTTTCTCTTCTTAAAGCTGAATTGACGAGGTTTTCGAGCTTCTGCAGAAGTTGAAGGCAATTCATCAGCATCAGTAGGCACTGGCTCACTAGAAGCTAAAGCAGATTGTCTAGAAAGGTAATGATTTGTACCGCCAGGATTATCGGAGGAATCCAAAGCTCCATAAGATCTTTCGGTTGTCATTGTTTCGCCTTTGATCGTTGAAGGCTCTTCTTGCAGTGATTCAAGTTCGCCTATTGGATTCTTTATCCGATTGGAAGATAGTGAAGAATCGTCAATCAAATATCGATTTGATTCAATTGGTTGAAAGTCGTCGTCGTCGTCGTTCAAACGAATCAAAGGTTGTGAAGTTGAATGATTGGAAGGAGATTGAGTTACTTTTAGTCTTTGTAGAGAATTAGGAGTATTTGGCTGAGAAATTTGAGATTGTTTTGAGGAGGAGGCGCCTTGGCTACTACCACCCCCACTTGCCTCAAAGGATAAATTTCCACTTTGCGATGCGAATGGAAGAGGGGAAGGAGTTCTTTGTCTCCTTAATGGATCGTCTTGAACTTCGTTTGAATCTGTCATTTTGCCTTGTTCATAAAGGGGGGAATTGTTTGTGCATATGCAATTGTTGTTGTTCTCACCCTTTTCCTTTTTGTCCGAATACAATGTTAATGTGTATTAGCGTGCATGCATATACATCATCATCTTATTGTGTTTGTATACAAATGGAATAAGATGTGATATTTGCCATCAACAAAAAGAGCGCGTTCTATCGGACGGGTGTGTAATGCACAACGCGCGCGTGTTTTCCTTTGAGAGTTCAGTTCGCGTACAGAATAATAAAATGACCTTTTCTTGCATTAAATAAAGTTTTTATGCACAAAAGAGAACAACACACGCCGCTAGAATGCATCCAACATGCATACACACTCAAGCCGAGTTAGTGCCCTTTACCCTACTGCCATCATCAAATCCTTTTCTCTATAAATATTGAATTGGCAAAAGTTGTGAATAAAGATAGTAGTAATACAAAACAATAATCCTATTAAATAAGTCCACCATCATCATCGCTATCATGTCTTTCTTGACTGTGTTGAGTAAAAGGGAGTGTATGGGATTGTTGATCTTGATAATTTTCAAATGATTCTCCAACTTTACCACGGTGTCTTCCGCCTTCACGAATACCGTCGTTGCCACGATACCAACCACTAACGTCTTGTGAATCCAAGACAGGACTACTAGGTCTACTAGGCGTCCATGGCGGAGGTAATTGACCTTCATCATGTGCATCGATCCATATTCCCGGCGCAGTAGGAACGCCTTCTAATAATCTTTGCTCGGCTTCCATCAATTCTTCCGTACTTCTACCGCATTGACATGATTCATGCGAAGTGGAAGTTCGAACAGGAAAATTATTCGCTGCCCAAGGTGAATTGGGTGGTAATGTTTTAGGCGTAGTCGTTCCACTTGCAGGAGCAGTCGTTACAATCGGAAAGCTATTTGTCGTCATTTGATTTGCTGAACCTAAACTGCTAACCAAAGGTTTATTTGTTGGGGTTAAAGCGTGCAAACTTGCTGTTCCACTTCTACGTACTTGCGAAGATGAATGTTGCATCAAATTACCACTTGAAGCATTGTTGCTATTTGTCATATTCGAAGGACTACTTGTACCATTTCCTGTTGGACTTGAAGGTCTAGACTTACGTCCATGATGGGAGGAAAAGTATCCTAAAGGTCCGCTATGATGATTTCGTGTAGGGGATGTATTACGGCTACCCATAGCACTTCCAGGTTGAGATGGATTGGTAGAATGAATTCCGAACGTGCTATTTGTATTGCCAGGCGTGGCTCCTGAGCCAGAATTTGCATGTCCGCCTAATGCAGCTCTCAAAGTTTGAGTCAATTTCCAATGATCCAATTCAGTTTCGGTTGCATTTTGCGGTGGCGTATGAGTCGTCAAAGGATTACGAATCGCTGTGTTTGTACCGTTACTTCCCCTTCCACGATTATGATTCCCATTACTCATCGGTTGAGGGCCAGGACTTGGAGGTCTTGAGCTTAAAGGAGATTCCATACTGTAAGGCGGCAAATGAATTGCATCATACGTTGCAAAACAGGAAGGTATGATCGTTGCTCTTCGCATACTAAAGACTTGTACTTTTGGCTTCCCTTTTGATTCCGATTGAGGACGTTCATCAATAACTGATTTTCGACTAAAGAATACTTCTACGCCTAATTCATGAGAAACACGTATTTCCGCTCTTGATCCTCGAACGGTCGAAGGTCTAATCACATTGTCATCCGGCAATCGCATAACAGCTTTCAGTTTATATCCATCTCCGGCTGGACTTTGAATTCCACTATTGGAATTGAGAGGCGGATGTATACCAACAGGCGTTGAAGGAGTACTTCCTTGACCGGGCATAGATGTTCCCAAAGGACCTGTGGTGCCAGGATGCATGGTTGAGCCATATGGTGCCAAAGTAGGCACTCCATATCCGCCTGCGATCACAGATCTACCTGGCCTTCCAGGTGAAAGGCCATCTTCGCTACTGATCCAAAGGCAATCTTCCATAGTTGAACTTGGATCGATTTGTTTATTTGCTTCTTTATACGGCATGAACCCACGTTCCCAGATACGTAACTTTTCAGCGGGTAATTTCATCCATGCTTGACGTACATCTGAATACAATTCAATCGTTTGTTCAACAAATACCCTAACAACGTGAACGCTTAAACCAAAAGGAGGTGATGGATGGTAAATGGACAAAGTTGCTGCTCCTCCGACGGTTAAGCTTGCACTAGTGAGTGAAACAGACATAGCTCCAAGTGCTTCATGGTAATCGTGATATTGAATATCAAGCGGTACAGGACCGCCATCCGCATTGACGTTTAGGATTATGAGTATTTCCCTTGATATTGTTACATTTGCTTTTCCTCTTCCGGCTCCAATAGCACTTGCAGTTAGTGTATAGCGTACTCTACCATATCTACCACGTTCAAAAGGTGGGGAAGAGGCGGGAATGATGAATGCGAATTCGAATCCGTGCGTTCCCTTTTCCAAATGAATGCCATGTACTTCTATAATTTCGGACGAAGATGTTGTAGAAGAAAGTAGACCATCATTTCGTTCTTTCTCCTTTCCTTTTCCTTTGAAAGAAGATGAACGAGAAAGAGCTGGTCTTGATTCGTTGGCAATCTCTACCACTTTTTCCAGTAAAACTTTATCTTCATATCGCGTTTGTATAATTGGACTATCACCAATCCTTTCGGGAATTGCCAAAGTTTGATGACCTTGTAATGTCACTTTAACAGCTTGAATTGTACGTTCGGATGGCACTCGAATTTCCACCAAACCACGTAAAGTTTTATCATCTCCGGGTAATTCTGAATTTGGACGTGGAGGATGAAGAAAGATTTCTGAAGAGTATAAATGAAGGGAAACCTCGCATGGTTGATGAATGATTGAATTGATCATTCTCAAGCAAAGTTTGTCTCCTTGTTTATGAGTAAAGAATGTTTGATGATTTGATCGTGAACATTGAGAAAGAGAAAAGGGTTTTTTTTTATTTCCTACAAGGTGATATCGGATAAAAGATAAAAAATTATCTCCCAAAAATAAAAAGGTTTGAATTTGTGCAGTAAGATGCATGAATGCATACATACGGAAACATTTTGTCATTCTTGTGTGTGAGCTGAGCAACATGCCGACTGTTTGAATGTTAAAAGTTTTAAATTTTATGCGATATCTGTGCAGTTAATACGCTCTGCGTCATAAATTAAAGATTTCGTAATCAACCCACGCATACGGGGGGCACTAAGCAGGGGGGGCATTCACTAGACAATAAGCGCAAGCCATGCAAGCATATTCCTGATCATCATCTTTGAGGATTGGTTAAAGCTCTTTGCCCTACCTAGCGATGGGGACATACAAATACGGAAGCGACTATTTCATAAAGTAGATCACACTTATACAATCGGCAAACATGGCACCTTCGCCGGCCAAACGAGCAAAATTGGCTAAAGATCAACATGCATCACAAGTGAATATCAAAGATCTCTTTGCTAAATCAGCTCTGAAATCGGCTGCTTCCATTTCACAAAGGAAGACGGAAGAAGAAGAATTGGAATGGGCTATATCCGAAAGTCTAAAAGATCAGAATGCACCAGTCAAAAGAGTCTGCTCATCGTCAATCGATGGAAGATCTGATGCACACAAAGTTTCGCCACTGAAAGAGACCCAACTTGCAGATCAATCAAATATGCCACGTAATAGTCCATTGCAGCTTCAGACAGAATGCAAACCTTTTGCATCTCATCGAACTACTCACTCGCCTATCAGAAGCATTAAAAATGCTTCTGAATGCCAGCCTTCTGCCGAATCTTCTTCGACGATGCTCTTCGATGGTCGTTCCTTTGAACTTGGACAAAATGTCGAAAAACCTTCCAAGAAAACTCCAGCAAATGCATTCTCAAAGTTAATGTCAACACATTCTGAAGCGAAAGAATGGGCAACGGCTGATTTGGTTGAATCAAAAAATTATACAGGCGCTGCAAGATCTAGACCACAAAAGAGAACGGCACCATTTTATAAAGTTTTAACAGGAATGCCGATCAGCGTAGACGCTTTTAGGTTTGGGGAAATTGAAGGATGCTCGGCCTATTTTCTCAGTCACTTTCATGCAGATCATTATGGAGGCATGACCTCTGTTTGGAATCATGGCCCAATTTACTGCAGTGTCACAACTGCAAATCTGGTACGCTCTTCTTTACGTGTACAAGACCAATACGTTTGCCCTTTACCGATGAACGAAACCATTACCATTCCACGATCGGGTGGTGTTCAGGTAACATTACTGGATGCAAATCATTGTCCGGGCTCATGCATTTTCTTATTCGAAGGTCCACAAACTTGTCATATCTTACCCGCCTCTTCCGGTTTCAATCATCCACCTCTGCCGCCCTTATCGAAAACGTTCCGCTATCTTCATTGTGGAGATTTTCGCGCATCGCCACGTCATGTTAACCATCCAGTGATGAAAGGAAAACGGTTGGATATCATCTATTTGGACACGACGTACTGCAATCCTAGATATTGCTTTCCCGCACAAGAAATGGTGGTGAATGCATGTGCTGAAATGGTCAGAAGGGCGGCGCCAGAGCAATGTCGTATTGGGCAAATGAGTCGATCGAACGGGATGCTTACATCCGGAGAAGATTGGTGGAATTCACCAGCGAAATCAAGGAAAAGCGAATCGATTCAATCAGAGGAGGAGTGTAAAGGTGCATCAGCATTACGGCAATGGCTCAAAACTGATCAAGCAGATTCAAAAGGGCTCATCAAAGCTGACACTGCGGATGAATCCAACAAAGAGATAGTTGTGAAGAGAGAACCGGATGAGATGGAAGATGGGCTAGAATTCCACGATGAAACTTTTGGCATGTCTGAAGAATTAGAAGAAGGGGATGACTCTAAAGATGGCAGCTTTATCGAAGACGAAATCAAAAGCGAATTTAATGAAGATACCGGTAATGCAAGCGCAGTAAAGCAAGAAGAGCATGGAAATACCACAGATTGCTCCCCGACAAGGCTCAAGTCGGAGGAAAAGCCTTTGCACGAATCTGTAAAAGCCACCGATCACACTCGTGTCCTGGTTGTTGTAGGAACCTATACGATCGGCAAGGAAAAGATTGTAATGGCATGTGCAAAAGCTCTTGGTACTCGAATCTATTGCGCAGATCCCCGCAAATATCGTGTTTATGCTCAATTGGAAGATGATGAATTACACTCACTGCTAACTCGTGATCCTTTGCAAGCATATGTTCACGTCACATCTTTGATGAGCATAAATGGAGATGCATTACAAGAGCATTCTAGTAAGATGCGCTCTTTGGGGATGCGAATCGATCGTTCGATCGCTTTTAGGCCAACCGGTTGGACCTATAGACCGCCAGCTGGGATGGACACCGTAAGTCCTAGCCTGGAAAGGTTGATCAATTGGAATCAAGGAAGAACTTTCGGTCCTTCTTATCTAACATCGACTAGAGATAGCACGATGAAATATACCATTTATGGCGTACCTTATTCGGAACATTCAAGCTTTTTCGAATTAACGGCATTCTGCTTATCGGTGGATTATGATCGAATCATTGCAACCGTCAATGTTGGCAATCCGAATAGCAGGAACAAGATGGCTCGTTGGTTCGAAAAATGGAAAGCAGAAAAGAAACGTAGAAATGGTGAAGCTGTCGAACCAAGATCGCCGGATTTCTTTTGACAAAATTGTAGCACACTGTTGGTGGATGTACTTTATCTTTTGTATCATTTATATCGCATCGTTTTTACGCATCATATCCTCATCAATTAAAGTACGCACGCGAGATAATTAGAAGAAAAAGATTAAGATTTATAACTACATCAAGTAGTCATGAGATTGAATGGATGTAACTTGGCTACCATGAATCAGTTTTACCTGGAGAAAAGATAAAAGGGGTAGAGTGAAAAAAGTACGGGACCATAAAAAGCAAAACGAAGAAAAAAACAAGGAGGCAATAAGAAAGAGAGAGTGGTATGCTAAAATGCAATGAGCGTGAGCTCATAAGTACTTGAAAGTAGCAAACGATGAGCATCACGGAAACGAAGAGAAGTGATTGGCAATGATTGCAAAGGTTCTAAAAGCGAATGAAAGTGCAAAGGTTGAAGAGATTATCCGCAAGGAAGACAGATTAGAGATGTTTTTTGTCGTCATCGTCCAAATCCGTGCCATCTGTTTCGCCATCACGTAAACGACAAATTTCGTCGCAATCAACGGAATCGGCATCTGCATCCTGGTCATCGCCTTCATCCTTCAAAGCAGCGATGTATTCCTGAATTTCTTCAGCGGTAGCAGGGAATCCGTTAATGGATGTTGCGGTGATTGTTTCATTGCGGTGTTGTGCATCAGCAGCTTGTTGTAGGTTGATGATACGACGGTGATGTTGAAGTGCATGGCGCTTGTGACCAGGTGTTGCTTGAGCTACTTCAGGCTCGGTAGCGGTCTCTTCTTGGTAATCTGAATCTTGATCTCCTTCTTCTGCATCATAGTCTTGAATTTCAAAATTGTCCTCATCATCATCGTCATCGAAAGAGTCTGTGTCAGCAACTTCAGCGCGCTTGTTACCGCTACCGTAAACATATTGATAACCAATCGAGCGCAGTTTACCGGCACCGGTGAAGAGAGCGTTTTGACGAGAAGCAAATGCATCTGGAGGCTTTGAAACAGCGAAGCAACCTAACCAAGCGACACGTTTAACGTACTTCTTTGTGCGCATCCAAGCGTTCACTTTGCGTTGGAATGCCTTGATTTCGTGTTGGGAGCCACCTGATTTTGATGTAACTCCGTATTCGGTGATCCAAATGCTCTTCTTGTACTTCTTACGTAGCGTTTTGATCCATTTTTGGTATCGGCCAACATCCTTCCAAGAACCGTAATAATGTGCTGCGATAAAATCGATATCACCGCCTTGTTGACGGATATGTTTCAAGAATGAATCCATCCATTTCGTGTTCCAAACGATTTGAGGACTGCTGACTTTATGACCTTTGCGACGGAAAGGTTCCAATTCCTTCATGTGCAACCTTGCTGCTTCTTTTGGCGAAACGTTTGCTTGGCCTTCTATATCAGGTTCGTTCAATGAAAGAATGAACTTTGGCTTATGTTTACGAATCCACTTTTTTTGTTGATTCCACAACCCATAATATCTAGGACCCCAGAACATCGGAACAAATGGAATATTCTTGGGCATTTGAGCAACTGGGCCATCTTGCCAATGATGGTACCATTGTATTCTTCCTTTTGCAACCCTTGGTGCCCATCTACTGTCTGCACCCCACGGAATACCGAATTTGAGAGCTTCACTGGACTGAGCAAGGACTGCAATGGATAGTGCAATAGTGATTGCAACCGTACGTAATGAGAATAACATGGCGAAAAGTCAAAGTTGTATGTACGATCGGGATAGTCGGTCTGTTGGAATGAATTTAGCAAGTGCGTGCCGGCCGCGAGGAAGGATTGTTCGACAAAAAGATACGACTTGATGAACGATAGAAAAGGATGTTTGATTATCTGTCACCGTTTGTTTGATTTGGTGTAATAGAGAGCGAGAGAGCGTTTTATGATATAGCGAACGTATCCCGTCAAGGGGTTTTGATTATAATGCCAATCGATAAAGAAAGATGAATAAAAGAGGGGGAAGGGGAGCGGGTAAAAAGGTCAATCGGATGATGGATGATGATGGCAATGACCAAGATCAAGCTTTAAGCTGAATGTCCGAATTCGATCGATGATGTTAGATCGTAAAGACGTGTGTGTGTGTGGTAATGGCATTTGCATGTCTGTCAAACGAATTCACTAAAATCCTTCTGAACAGAATGCATTTAAAGGGCAAAAAAGCACTCAAAGGGAAAGAAAGAATTCCATTTTCATTTCTAGTGCTATGCAATGCGCTCACACGCGTTGAATGGTATTCCGCCTCATGTATGTACGTTGATGAATAAAAGGATGCGGGTAAAGTGCCTAGCTACATTTGGCGCATGATTAAAATGTTTGTGCTCAAAGAACGAACAAGGCAATTATTCACTTTCATTTGTCAATTCTCCGCCACAAAAGCATAAACGCATCTGATCGGTGTTTGTGTCCCCTTTGTTTAAACAACGCCAAGAAATTGACCTTTTTTTTTTCTCTTTCTTTGAGGCCGTAAAGGAGTGCCGCCTACTTCAGGGAAAAAACCGAAGAAAAAGGGTGAATGAATTCATTTCAATCAAAAACGCCAAAATGTCAAAAGTGTTGACAAGGATGTTTACCCTTTTGTTCATCAGATGAAACCCCTAAAATCAGTCATGACGGGAGCAAGCATTCTGAACAACATGTTACAAAGGGGACCCACATGTACTTACAATCCTTTCTTTGCTGTCCAGAATGGTCTAGCGCCGTCATCCTACACCAGATTTGACTCTCCGTATTCTCTGGCATGTTACATGCATATTTCGATTCGCGTCTTTCATGCGTGATTGCATTGATGATGATCACTTTAGTTCTTCTAGCCCTATGCAGCGCACGCCCACGAGGGTTTTGCGTCGACATGCATTAAATGAACACGTGTGTTGAGTGAGTGCATCACGTGCTTTATATTGAGCGTGATTGTGGTTATATTCTATTCTATTCTACTTACCCACTGTATTCATTCAGCCAATACAATACGAATAGCATACAACCGTGAAATGAGTTCAATTAACCTCCGAGAAAATGCTATAAATTGACCTGTCCGTCTTTCCGTGCTTGATTGTACTACGCATTCATTCGTGTCTTACAATCCAATTCTGATTTGCCATCTAACCTTCATCATCGCAATTTTAATTTTTCATTTTGACCTTTCTCTGTCATTCGCATTTGTCATGTCTGCTCATCGTCCTGGCTCCGATATTTTCGGAGCGAATGAAAGTCACTCAGCTGGTGACTATGATCTTGATTCTTGGATCAACGGTCGCAAAGGTGAATTCAAGAAGCATGAAAAGCCAATTCCAAGATCTACACCACTTGCGCAGCAAAAGCCAAACGTCATGCATCGTGTTCCTGAATCAATGCCATCAAAAGACGGCAAAAATATTTGGGATGCTCAACAACGTCAGAATAACGCGCATACATCCGCTTATTCAAACGCAAAAGCAACTTTCATTGAAGATGAACCTCTTTCTGATGGCATCCAAGGTGAATTTCACATTTCAAGCTCACTCTCTTCCAGAATTGATAATGACAATTCAAGCTCTACTGCACATGGGGATTATTCAAATGTATCCGAAATGCCTTTCACGGCAGCATCCACCATGGCCAACCAATCATATCCATCTCAACCTATTCCACAGGCTGACGTACATGACAACATTTGGCAAAGAGATGCACAATGGCCTCAAGAGCAAGCTGTCGGCCACAAGAAGCAAAACAAACATGTCTCTTTTGAGCACACCGACACGAATGCTGCGCATTCACTCAACAAGTCAATCGCTCAGCCAGCTCCAATGACAACTGTGCCTGTTGCATTCAATTTCTCTGCTAATAACAGCGAACAGGAAGCAACAATTCACGCTGCACTAAAGCACATGTTCGACGTACAACAGGCTTCCGTATCATGCTTGCAAGACGTACAAGTTCTCTTTTCCCAGAATCAAGAGGCTTGCAAGCAATTTGCCAATCAAGTGGTGGACTTGAAAGCTCGTGTCGCTTTCTTTGAAACGCTTTGTAAAGAAAAAGATGCTCAAAGTCAGCAAAAGGACGATGCACTGGCCAACAAGGATGCATATATTAAAAAAAAGGATGACCAGCTAGCTCACAAGGATGACCAATTGGAGACAAAAGATGTCCAATTGGCAGAAAAGGACAAGGAAAACGATAAAGAGCGTCAAAGCCTGCTTGGGTTTCGATTAACATTGGAAAAGGTGAAAGAAACCTGCGAAAACTTTTTGTTAGACGGCAAACATATTTCCAAGGAATGGGAAGACCTTAAGTTGTCTGTCAAAGCTGATTGGCAAACTCTCAAAGAACAGCTGGATAATCAAAAGTCACTCAACAAAGACTTGACAGATGCCTTTCAAAGACACAAATCAAACCAAGAGAGCTTCAAGAATCAGCTTTCCGAGTTTGTCGACAAGCTGACGTGCACAGAAAGAGAGCTACGAGAGGCAAAAGAAGCAAACGGTATCTTATCCGTGGAACTCAGAACGGTCAGTGATGATGCACATAAAGCACAACAAGAATTCGAACGCAAATTAATGGAAAAGGACAACGAGGTACAGATTGCAGATGGAGAACGCAAAAACATGATTCAAGAACTCGAACAAATTAAGGAAGAACGTGAAAGTGCTATGATGAACTCAAGCAAGAAACAGAATGAGCTCATCACCGCGCAGAACAAGATCAAACAGATCCAAGAGGCTCACGAAAAGCTCGTCAAGAAGTTCAAGGAGTACGAACGAACAACAAATGAGAATAAGATTCGAATGGAGGAAAAAGCCGAGGAATTCGAGCGAAAAGCTAATGACAGTCAAGTTCGAGTGAAAGAGAAGGCGAAAATCGTTGATCAAATGGCAAAAGAATGTGCTGAGATGACACGCGAGAAGGAATGTATAGAAGACGCATTGAAAAGTTCTCGTGAGCAAGTTGCTGTATTCGAGAAAGCCAAAGAAGGATTCAAATCTCGCGAGGAAGGGCTGAAGACTCGTGAAGAGAATTTGAAGGCACGCGAAGAAAGTTTAAAGTCTCGTGAAGAAACTTTAAAGGCCCGCGAAGAAGCACTTAAAGCACGCGGAGATGGTACGAGTAAAAGAAAGGAAGCGCCGGATCGTGAGTCAGAACCAGTCAAGGGAAAAACCACAACGACACAATCAAATGATGATCAGAAGGCATCCAAGAGCTCCACCTCTTCTCGTAAAAAGGTTCGTACCGAGATTCCCTCAATGGATTCCGATTAAAAGGTCGGCTTGCCATCAGCATGAAACAAGTTGTATGATGAAGGAAAGAATGCGCTTTGCAGGACTGTATATGCCGTAATATGATGTAAGAGGGGCGAAAAAGAAGAAGGAGAGAATTTTCTCGACAAACATCAATCGATACGAAAGTAATCTTGACCACCTTTCCAATCGCAATCACTGTGTACTATACCTTGACACCAAACAATGTATCTTTCCCCTTTACTGACTGCCACCGGTTACGCGTTTGAACGGAAAGTACGTTCGGCTTGACCGGAGAAACTTTTGTGATTGCACTTTTGATTCGAATGTATGAATTCACGCCCAACGATACGTACGCCCTTTTAACAATTTTCGCGCTTTTTTGTACGCCCAACAAAAATGTGTATTTAGCCCGAATACAACAAGATTAAACTTAGGTGTATTCAATTCTCTTGACACGAGTACAAAGGCGTTCCGGTATCTTTTCGTAAGAGTCCGTCTTCAACACATTGGGCGTTTGAACGCGACTTTTTTTTTCTTTCTCGATCTTCTCATTCACGTACACGGTGCTCTTTGGTTGTGTAGTACACTTTGCACACTGTTCTTGTGCCTTATTTAAGTTCCCTTTTTTCTTAGTCTAAAGATAATCTAGCACATTTCCTGCATCTATCTCGGTTCGGCTTTTTTTTTCCCAATTTCAACAAAAAGACGGCTTTGTTGCCAGCCGGATGAGAAGAAGCGAAAGAAGAAAATAAAATAAAAAACAGCATAAGATATACACCCTTCACTCCACCATCACATCATCCTAATCATCCATTAAACCTTGATCATTTTGCTCTTTACATAATGATGAGCCTTTCAATCAATCGTGCAGCCATGCGTGCTGCTGCACCTGCCCGTCAATACGCAATCGCTTCTCAAAGCGTTCGTTTTGCCTCCACTAAAACACTCAAGGATGCCGTTGCAGAAGTTGTTCCCGCTAAACGTGAACAATTGAAGAAACTTAAAGCTGATTACAATGATGCAAACTTGGGTCAAATCAAATTGGAAAACTTGTTGGGTGGTATGCGTGGTTTAAAGGTTATGCTATGGGAAGGTTCCGTTTTGGACTCTGAACGTGGTATCGCTTTCCACGGAAAATCTATCCCAGATTGTGAAAAGGTTTTGCCAACTGCTCAAGATATTGGTTTGTCCGGAAAAGAGATGCGTGAGTTTGTAAAATCTAGCATTGATCACAAATATGAAAATACTGATCCTTATCTTTTGCATTCTCTACAGTTCCTGAATCCATGCTTTGGCTCTTGTTGACCGGTCAAGTTCCAAGCAAGGAAGAAGTCAAGCAATTGTCTGCTGAATTGGCCTCAAAAGGTAAATTGCCAAGCTACGCTGAAAAGATCATCGACAGCTTCCCAAAAACCATGCACCCAATGACACAATTCGCATCTGCCGTCGCTTCTCTTAACCACGACAGCAAGTTTGCTGAAGCATACAAGCAAGGTGTCCGTAAAACTGAATACTGGCAACCAACTTTGGAAGATTCGATTGATCTGATCGCCAAATTGCCCGCTATCGCTGCTCGTATCTACCACAACGTCTTCGGCCGTGGGGACGGTGTTCAAAAGATTGACTCAAACTTGGACTTGATCGGTAACTACTCTCAAATGATCGGTTACGGCGACAATGAAGGTATGATCGACTACTTGCGTTTGTACATTGCCATCCACGGTGACCACGAAGGTGGAAACGTATCCGCACACACTGCTCACTTGGTCGGAAGTGCATTGTCTGATCCTTATCTGTCTTACTCTGCCGCTTTGTTGGGTTTGGCCGGTCCATTGCACGGATTGGCTAACCAAGAAGTTTTGGGTTGGGCTTTGGACATGCAAAAGAAGGTTGGCGATAACGCTAGCGAATCAGATATCAAGGAATTCTTGTGGACCACCTTGAAGAGCGGTCGTGTCGTTCCAGGTTACGGACACGCAGTTTTGCGTATGCCTGATCCACGTTTCTCTGCTCTTTCTCGTTTCTGCGATACACGCCCAGAATTGAAGAACTCTTCCATCGTTCAATTGGTTCAAAAGACAAGCAAGGTTGCCCCTGAAGTGTTGAAAGAACACGGAAAGACCAAGAACCCATACCCAAACGTTGACGCAGCCAGTGGATGTGTCTTGTACGAATACGGATTGAAGGAATGGAGCTACTACACCGTTATCTTTGGTATCTCTCGTGCTTTGGGTGCTTTGCCTCAATTGGTCATGGACCGTGCTCTTGGATTGCCAATCGAACGTCCAAAGTCTCTCTCTATGGACGCTTTGGAGGAATTATTGAAGAAATAAGCAAGTCACAACCACAAGCTCAAGCTGCGAATTTTAACATAGCCTTCCTTAATTCATCTGAGTTGATGATCAGAAAATGATGCTCGTATTGTCTCATGAATCGTAGTCCTGTACGTCATATAATATGCGCATCTCGAACAAATAGAAATATTAATCTTCTTTTTCTCGATTCGTCTTTACGAGCGCGAAAGTGAATTCTGCAAATGATTGGATGAAACACACGATCAACAAGCCAAAACTTACGTATACATTTGATTAGGATCTGTGGAACGGTTGAAATTAAATGAAGACTTTTAAGTAAGATAAAGATGACGATATATGGAATTATTAATCGAAACACAAAATTATGAAACTTCTAGATTATATTGGGGGAACAGGCTCACTTCTTCACCTGTACCCGACGTAACAATTCGCCAGTCACCATTGTGGAGATCTCATGCAATTCTTCAGAAGTGAGTTCGGTCAAATTACCTTGACCGTTGGCGAGTGAAGAAGCAACAGCTGCTGTGCGTTCTTGTTGCAATGATGATAAGCGCGCCTGATCATTATGAACGTCACCGTAATTGTGATATAAACGTTGACGATAAATGGACGAACCTTCACGACATGAAAGATTGTTCGAAAGAGGTGGCAAAGGGTGATTGCGTTGATCTTTTACCCACGCTTCTCGACGTATGATGGAATTTTGAAGAGGCTGTAAATCCTTTTGAGGAGTGGATGCCGTTTGCGTTCGATAACGATACATTTCCGGATAAACTTGATCAATTTGACGATTTCCAACTCTTTCGTTATTGTAGTATACCCGTGTTCCATTCTCCTGGGCATGGTTGTTAACCAAAGGTTGCATAGCACCCGACTGAGGGTTGATAGAGCTTGCCGCTAAGCGTGGTCGCTTTGCCAATGTGATGCGTGGATGAGGAAAATCAGGTCTAGATGTGATGCAGTCATGAGGGAATCCTCTACGGATGCAACCGTCACATGGTCCGCTGGTTGAAGCGCCAGGCTGTGCTCTTGAACATTTTGTCTTCATTCGAAAGCATCGATCACAACTCTTTCTCTGAGGAGCAGTGTTGAAGACTGTCGTATTAGATCGTTGTGCAGCTCGGACAAGCATTTGCGGAAACGAGTCAGTAACGTCATTTTCTCTCTTTTCATTCTGGATTTCGCCACCCAAGGCAATCTTTGCATCACCATCATTCTTCTTTCTCTGATCCTGGTACAGAGTTTCATCTTGGCTTTTTGTCGAATTCAGATCTGCTGAATGTGCAATCGTATTCTTTGACAACATGTTTCCCTTTTCTGCATCTTTTCCGGCCGGGCTAGGACTCTTGCAATCTTCAAATGTGGTTACTGAATCAGCACCAGAAGAGAGCCCATCACTTTTTCTACTTATACCACGTGTTTGTTCTGTAGATGTCGAAGAGACTGGAGTATTGTAGACATGTGCAGATGAGCCACTGGAAGTGTTACTGTCTGTACTGTTTGCTTCTTCCATTTGTCCGATGCGACCTTTCTCATGATCCTGTGGCCATACGCGTGAGTTGGACAAAGACTTGTCCTCTTTTCCATCCGTTGATCCATTTAGATCTTGTCTTTTGCGTTTTGTGCCTGAGGTTGTTGCATTCTTGCTTTCTGTCTCTTTTGACCAAATTTGATGATCATCGTATGATAGATGTCTACGATGACGATATTCACGAAACGTTCGATCGGTTACTGATTTGGAAGTGAATGCACTTTCTGCTTTGATTTGACCAGCTTCTGATTCAGAAAGTGCAGCTTGTTGTTCTTTCTCGTCATCATCAGAAGATTGACTTCTTTCTGATGAAGTTGGCCATACTTGAACGATATTTTCCGAATCGTTTGAAATTGAAAGATTTGCCTTTGTAGCTTTAATCATAGCTTCGGTACGATTATTGATGAGCAAATCACGATCGGGATGGTTGGCTGAGAATGGTTGATGGATGAGTAAAGGCATGAAAGAAAAGATGTGAAAGATTGTAAGATCGGAATGTTATGTACCTGATTTGAAGGCAAAAGGAAAAAAGCGATGCCTCTTTATATATTCTTCACTTTATGCATTCATTCATTCAAAGCCGCGAATATGATTGGCGTCATCGATTTTTTCGTTTGACGGAAGTTTGCCTTTTCTCTCTCTCTCTCTGCGTCCCTTACGCCCGGGGGGGAGAATTTGAGTGGTAGTTGTCTCTTACTTTTTAACCGCCTCCGCCGTCGCCGCCGCCGCCGCCGTCGTCGTTTCTTTTACTTGCTGATTTTACACCGCTGCCTCCTCCGCCGCTTAGCTTTATTTTTGATCATCGCCGTCATTTCGTCATCTTTTTTTGCCTCCGCCTTTTCTTTCATTCAAATTTCGGCGGACCGTTTAAAAAGCATGAAGAAATTCCGATATAAACGGTTACCAAAAAAAGAGCCGCTTTAGCCCAAATTTGCGTATTGATACGGAACTGAAAAAGCCGCATTAAAGGCAAAACTGTTTATCATATCTTATAAAACCCCGAGAACGGCTTACCATTTTGTATGATGATGAATCTCATCAGTAAGTATAACATTCTCATCAAACCGTGGATTATCTACCGTATCAAATACAACCGCCACCGCCCCTTTATGTTCCGCCGATCGCAGGCGTCCGCTTCTGAAATGAGAAGAGAATATTATACGCATACACATACATTCTTGACGCCAACGACTGCCAATCTTTTCTTTATTGATATCTTGGCGTTTCAGGAACGCCAAAAGAGAAAAAAAGGCTATCAATCGCCATAAAGATAGAATATCTCAGGCACATCAAGATCATCAGAAGGCGATTGATTGTATTGTTGTGCCTTAATAAGGTGTACCTGATGGCGAAATAATATTGTTTGATTCAAGAGCTCGAAGTGGATTATAAAACGCCTTTTTATTCAATCGTATGGGCAACTTATTCTTTGGCGCACGAATAAATGATGGCATTCTTATATATATATACACTGAAATGACATAATCATACACACTAAGAAATAAGCTCGGTTCTATTTTCAATATAAAATCACAATTCTTAAACGATGAACAGCAGAAAGAGAGAACAAAAGGCCAGACAGGGGTTAAAACGCTAAAAGAGTGTGCAGTGCATTGTTCTTTTATATGCATCCCTTAGTCGTCTGTTTGTTTTGTTTGTTCTTTTCTTTTCTTTTCGAATTTACCCGCAAAAGAAGAGACCGTTTGATAATTCTAATTTTAGCGTGAAAAGAGAGAATGTCATCATATTTAGCGTAGATCGGTTAAGCCACCTGTTCTCTCTCTCTCTCTCCTTCAATTTGAAGAAGAAAATAAACCCCGCATCTAGATGAGACTGTAATAACGAGCAACATTGCATGATCTATCAAGTTAGATATATATCAAATCATGCCAAAATATCCCCCCATATATAAATAAAGTCTTTTATATCTTTTCACCTCTCTTTACCATCATCTTCTTTCCCTTTCCCCATCCTTTCCCTATCCCTTTTGAACGTTATGCATTTCAATTTTGCATCACTGTTGGTGCTTTGCACATGTATGCTCTTTATGGAGCCAACCCTTGCTTTACCCAAAGTGCGCACTTTTCGTGGTGTGAGCAGATATGCTGGCTTATATACCGAGCATACCCCAACGCCTCCTTTTCCCAATCCAAGAGACGATCCAGACTTTTATGCTCATCGTTATACGGAAAAATATATCAGTCAAGGTTTATTATCCGAACGTCCTGAATGGGCAAACACAATTGTGGAACGAGTTAAAACTGTTTTGGATCAAATCGGTTGGGAATCATGGACGTTGATCAAAATGTTATCTCCTTATTTCTCACAAAGCGATTCCCTTTATGAAAGTTATGGTCATTTAACGTTTAACAAGAATGGAGATGAAGATTTTGACCGTTTAAGAGAGGGATCTAGTCGTACTTATCTTGATCAAGAAGAGAATGATATGGACGAAAGCCTGTTGCCTAATTTACCTCAAGACTCCGGATTTGATTATGTGAATGACAAAGTGAGAGGTGTCAATATCGGAAATTGGTTGTTATTCGAGTTATGGATGGATAGCAACTTATCCAATGCACTCAATAGCCATTTAGTCAATGCTCCCTACCCTAATGCGATTATCGATGAATGGACTGCGGGTCTATACTCTGATTATAATCATGCTTCCCATGTTTTACGAAAACATTTTGATACTTGGTTCACAGAACAAGATGTCATCGATATCAAGAACGCAGGCTTGAATCACATCCGTCTGCCTTTCCCTTATTGGGCCTTTGCTCAAGCCAAAGGACCATCTGCACCTTATCTGACATTGAACAGATTTGATAAACTGATCGAAGCATGTGGATGGGCAAGAACACATGGAATAAAAGTCTGGGTTGATATTCATGGTGTTCCAGGGTCTCAAAATGGCTTCGATAACAGCGGCAGGAGTGGTCCTATCCACTGGCCCAACAAACCTTTATACTATACGAATACTCAGTACACCTTCAACCGTCTTGCAACGCTTTTCTCCCAACCGGAATGGAAAGGAACCGTGACAGCGGTTGAGGCGGTTAACGAGCCGTTGGCAACCAATTCTGATGCAGTGAAGCAACTGATTCTCAAATATTATCCGTGGGCACGAAATGCAGCAGCAAGACCACCAAATTCGACAGATTACACCTCCCTCCTCATGGTCATGCACGACGGTTTCTTAGGTCCAGCTTATTGGGAGAACTTCTTCGACGAAAGAGCTTCTCATCGTGTGTTGTTGGATACACATCAATACTTTGTCTATACCGCTGCAGAAAAGAAGATGAAAGATTCAGGTCGTTTACGTTTAATGTGCGCAATGCAAGACGTGTTTACCAAAAGTCAAAATTATTATCCGACGATTGCAGGTGAATGGTCTGTAAGCGGCCCAAACGGAGATCGTAGTTCCGATCGTGATTTACCACAAGGTCCTGTAAGCTTCCCACCCGGACCAAATTATCCTTATAGTGAAGGATATATGAACTTTATGAGTTATGGTTATAATATCCAAAGAGCAACTTATGAAAAAGGTTCCGGTTGGATCTTTTGGGCCTGGAAGAATGCAAATGCACTTGACTGGAGTTATCAAGCCGGCTTACAGTACGGTTGGATTCCAAAAGATGCTGGAGCTCCATCTCCATTTGGTGATGATCCATGTGCCAATTACCGTTGATGGAAATAGCATGTTATTCCTGTTCAATTGCGCTTATACACGAATACCCCTATACTACTTCTCTTTTATTATTTCCATCTTTATTAACCTATTCTTGTCTCATATTTCTCGTGATGATGAACGAATGACATTTCTTTTTATGATGATGATCATTGTTTGTTTCTTAAATATATCTTGCGCAAAATACTTGGCCGCCTTAATAAATTGAATGCCGAATTAGTGGGGGTTGCCCCTCTGTCCTAGTGTATTTGCCGAAACGGTTTTTGTGCAGGCCAACAGAAGAACGGCAAGAATCGGCGGCTAAAGGCAAATAAGAAGAGGACGCGTTCTTTCATTCTATACAGCCGGTGCTGCGTGCGCAGCGCAGCGCAGTGCATTCATTGTATTAAGAGTGATGCCGTGATTAAGCAGCAGCCAAGGTATCCATTCTTTCTCTGTTGCCGTTTTTTTTATACTTTTTCTTTTTTCGGCTCGGCAATTACGGGAAGCACCACACGATCCAATCTTATACACGGCTTTAACCTTTTTCCTATCGGCAGACGTGCAGATTGAGATCAATTTATCATCATTCAAAAAATGCAGGTATGGGGTTAACGTTATGGGTCCGTTATTCAAAAGATGCAACAAAAATCAAGATTAACAACACACACACACACACTTCCTTCACACAGCGTAACGCTAATCAATGCTTTTTTCGGCAAAGAACTAAAACTAGATTCACACTCCGCCTTCATCCTGAAAACCGTTGAATCTCTTGGACAAATTCACAAACACTCTTTCATCTTCTCATCCTCATCATCGCTATGTATCATTCAAGTAATCAAGGATAAACTTCTTGTGCTTCTTTTACGACTTCAGTCATTTCAAGTATGGCCGACGATCAAGGATCTGCTCGGATCACTACTTCAGTAACACCCAATGATCCTACGCATTTATCCGACTCTCTATCAATATCCAACGATTCATTTACCATACCTTCATTCAATATCGACAACATTAAACTGGAAAATGCTGAAGATCCTAGAAATTGGTCACCAGCGAGGAAATGGAGTACAACTGCCATCATTTCATTGATGGGCTTCATCTCTCCTCTTGGATCTTCCGTCGTCGTTCCTGGCGCTCCTTTGATGGACAGATTCTTCTCTTTGCATTCTCGTGAATTATCCCTCTTACCCGTCAGCTTTTTCGTTTTGGGATTGGGAGTTGGGCCTTTTCTACTGGCGCCTGCAAGTGAATTGAAAGGACGTCATCCCATCTTTCTTGTCTCGTGTTTCATCTTTGTTCTATTCAATATCGGAACAGCATTTTCCTCCAACTATGCTGCCTTGAACTTCTTGCGTTTCTTGGCTGGTGCTGCTGGAAGTACAGGTCCAAGTCTTGGCGCGGGAAGTATCGGAGATATGTTCGCTCCCAAAGAGAGAGGAAGAGCTCAATCTCTATACGGATTGGGACCATTACTAGGACCGGTCTGTGGTGCAATCGCAGGTGGATGGCTTGTACAATCGATCAATTCTTGGCGATGGCTGTTGTGGTTTCTAACAATCCTGTCTGCCGTTATCGCAATCATTGTGACTTTATTCCTTAAAGAAACTTTTGCACCTGTTCTTTTGCGCAAAAAGATTCAAAGATTAGCAAAGGAACATCTCCGATCGATCGAAAACCTTCAGCCAACTGCCATTCAACATGTCGATCAACTGGAACAACATCGAAGAACAGTAGAAAAGATTGCAGAAATACAACCCAAGCAAGAATCACGATTGAGCTCGAGCAGCACTGCTCCTATCACAGTCGCATATCGTGGATCACAGCTTCTGAAGAGATTCATTGCAATCTTTCTGCCCAGCCCGGAATTGCGAAAACGCACACGTTTGGCAATGTCAAGGCCATTCCGCCTCTTGTTCGGAAATCCAATTTGTGCAATCTTCAGTCTTTATATGGGTTTCATTTATGGAATCATCTTTTTATTCCTCACTCAACATCCACTTCTCTTTCAACGTCATGATCTAGATGAAGATCCCGCTTCGAGAAATTTGCCATCGTACGGCTTCAGTCCCGGTTTGGCAAGCTTGACGTATTTAGGTTTAGGCCTGGGTTTCTTGGTGGCCGCTTCTGTCAATGTCTTATTGCAAGATTCAATTTATGCACGTTTGGTACTGAACCGTGGTAGAATTGGTTGGGTTTTGTTCAAAGACCGGGAAGAGATTGTAAGACGAGCCCAAAGAAGACAAATGGAGGAAGAATCCAACGCGGAAAAGAATGACGAACATAGCACAATAGACGTTGAGGGGCAACGACCCGCTTTGGTGGAAGGAAACTTCACTCATGATCAATCAGCCACGAGCAACCAAACAGATGGTGCACACAACAACAATCTATCATCAGAAAAGGGAGGATCATGCACAATCGTTCAACAACAATTCCCTGAACAAGGGCAGGCGCCAACCAACGCCAAAGCTGTGACAAACACCACTTCAGGCATTGTAGCAACACTTTCTTCTGCCAAAACTGCACAAGCTCCTGTTGCCGCCGCTGTACCCAAAGGCCGACCAGAGTTTAGACTACCTCTATGTTTGGTAGGAATGATTATTCTACCCCTCGGACTTTTTGTTTTCGGATGGACGGCAACCGCAAAGACACATTTCATGCTTCCTTTACTTGGATCATTTCTGGTTGGAGTTGGCAGTATCCTTCCTTTTCAAGCTATTTTGGTTTATTTAGTGGATGCTTTCATCCCATTCTCAGCTTCAGCAACTGCTTGTGCCGTTTTGGTACGATGTATTTTAGCAGCCGTCTTTCCTCTATTCAGCGAAAAGATGTTTGTAGCACTCGGATTCGGTTGGGGAAGTACACTTTTGGCTCTGGTTAGTATGTTAGCCATTCCAGTTCCCATTATCCTTTTTTGGCGAGGGGAACAATTACGTGAACGATTCAAGTTCAAAGGATAGCTTCAATACCAAGTGCTATCCTCTGCAACGATGGTCACCATTCCATATTGCCATCTGGATCCTTCCAATTTGAAGGAATTTGTATTCTCTTTCTACATTTGTACTTTTATTCTCTATATCATATTATTCTTGTAATATTAATTCTTTCTTCTGAATTGAGAGAAGACACACACACGAGCAATACACACCATCTGCTATATGCCGAATCTTAAGCCGAAGTTCGGGGAGCGGTACCCGTAAGCAAACGCGGCATAAAGACACAAAGCCGATACTGGAAAAGTACCCTTCAATTGTTCTCCGCAATTTCATCTTTTTTCACACTTCTGTGCGTATTAAACTCCATCCCATCATCCTCTCTCGCCTTTTCATCATCTGACAATCTGTAAAATGGCACCCAAAGCCTCTCCTCCCACGTTGCAGATTGATAATCCAGGTACCCGTCAAGACGGTACCTTTAAATCTACAAAGGATGATACAACTCTATACTACTTTCGTTATTTACCGACAAATGCTGAATCTCAAGCACCTTTAGCACATATCGTCTTCACCCATGGTTATGCAGAGCACTCCGGTCGTTATTTTTATAACTTCCCCTTGTTCGCTCAAGCAAACATCTCCTTAACAGGATATGATCTTCGTGGCTTCGGCTTATCGTGGAAGAAGCACCCCAACCCAAGGAAAGCACATGGCGATACAACCAGAAAACAACAACTTGAAGATTTAGAGGATCTGATCAAACTTGAACGTGAACGATTAGATCAGAAATACGGAAAAGATCGTGTTCCAATATATTTGATGGGTCATTCAATGGGCGGCGGCATCACTTTTGCATTCTTTACCCGACCTAATGGTGAAGGTGGACCATCAGATGAAGTGAAAAAGATGATCTCTGGAGCGATCCTCAGTAGTCCTTGGCTAAAATTGTCGAATGTGAGTGTGATCAGGGGAAGACATTCTTCTTGATTTATGCACTTCTTGAGCTAATCTTCAATCTTACAGCCGCCTCCTGGTATTCTTTTCTGGCTTGCTCCACGCCTTTTGGGGCTTTATCGTAATTTCCCTTGGACTGTCGGGGTTGCAGCAAAGGAAGTCTCAAGTGATAAGCAAGTCCAACAATGGACCGAAGAAGATGAATTGGTAGACGGTCACGTTTACCTTCGAACGATTACCGATCCATTGTTCGGGGGGATAAAGCTGGCCGAAGAAGAATATAAAGAATGGCCTTCCGATAAACCAATCATTATCTTGCATGGCGAAAAAGATCCTGTCACATGCAGCAAGACAAGCAAAGAAGTGATCGAAAAGCTAAACGCAAGTGATAAAGAATACAAAGGATGGCCAGGTCTCTTGCATGAATGTTGGCACGAAAAGGGTGATGTCAAAGTAGAGTTCATCCAATACATCATCAGCTGGGTCAAAGCACACTCTCTTTCTTCTTCGTGATTGTATGTACTTTCCCTTGTCGTTTTGTTTTTTCAAGGCTGCAGATCCATTCACCGTTTCTCTTCTTCTCCAGAGACTGCCATTGTTTGCTTGTAAGAGCCCGGTGAATGCGAGTGCAGAGTCATTATGAATGAAGAAACTTTGACCGAATCAACCAGTTATGGACTTCTTCGGTAATGTTAAACGGATGTCAAGCCAAAGAGTGTAAGGTGAAAGCATGAAAAGGAGGACAGAGGAAAGACATATGTTGATGTCAAGTGTAGTGTACCATTTCTTCTGTTATGCCACTTATTCGATTGCCACGTCATAATCCGTTCTTGAGCGACATACGAGATGACTTTTCATGAACTTTAAAAGATTTCATCCGGCCTGAAGAGGAAGATCTTGGTTCATTGCGCTGAATTTGGGCGTTTCTACTTGTGACTTCTTCTTGTGAAACGATGGGGATAGCGTTTGCATTTTGTTGCTGTAATCAATGCTGTGTGATAACGCGAGAAAGGAATTGTGTGATCCTGGTTGAATGTGAAGTGGATCTTGAACGAGAAGAGAATAATACTGGTTGAATGAGAGGCGCCTTTTGAATGCGGATGAGAAGAGGTCACCAACTGTCACTTCTTACTCCGCCGTCATCATCCTCTCCTTACACCGCAATTATCATCCTCTTCCCCATTTTACAATCATCACCCTCTCCTCACTCCTCCATCATCACCCTCTGAGTGTTTGGAGGAGGGTGTTTGGAAAGTTGCGAAACGAAGTGTTCTGGCTCATCTTGCTCTCGTCTCGTTAACAAGTCGGACAGGATGGACGCTTCTTTGATAAAATGTATTTGAACCGTCATCTGAAGAGGTCTGCACTCAAGACCGATGCTTCTTCGACTGCCAGTGATCGCTTGCAAGAGCCCCGTGAGTGCGAGTGCAGAGTAGTCCTCGAATGAAGAGAATTTGCTCGACTTGATCGACCTCACTTCAACCCAAGATATGATGATGAACTTCTTCGGCAAAGTTGAACGGATGTCACTGGGAGAAGCAGTCAAAAAGTGTGAAGTGGGAGTGTGGAAAAAGACGGCAGAAGAAAGACAATTGTTGATGTCAAGTATACCATTTCTCCTGTTGAGACTGCTCTGCTGACTCTTGATGAATTCTGTGTGGCATCTGGTGTCGAGTCTTGCACCATTTCTCCTGATGAGATTGCTACGCTGACCCATGACGAATTTTGTGTGGCATCCGGAGCAGTCTCTAGATGAATTCTGTGTGGCATCTTGTGTTGAGTCTTGCACCATTTCTCATGTTGAGAGTGCTCCGCTGACTCTTGCTGAGTTCTGTGTGGCATCTTATGTTGAGACTTGCACAATTTTCTCTGTTGAGACTTGCACCAGTTCTTCTGTTGAGACTTGTACCACTTCTTCTGTTGACACTGCTCCGCTCACTCTTGATGAACTCTGTGTGGCATCTTGTGTTGAGTCTTTCACCACTTCCTTCTGTTGAGATTTGCACCTTTTCTCCTGTTGAGACTGCTCCGCTGACTCTTGACGAATTCTGCGTGGCATCTGGAGCAGTCTCTTGACGGAATCTGTGTTGCATCTGGAGCAGCCTCTTGATGAATTCTGTGTGGCATCTTGCTTTGAGACTTGCACCATTTCTTCTGTTGCGACTGTTCCGCTGACTCTTGAAGAACCTTATATTGAATCTTGCGTTAGGTCTTGCGCTTCTACCTTCCTCCCCACCTTTCGCCCTTCTTCCTTCTGCACGAGTCTCTTCTTCTCCAGAGACTGCCAGTGCTTACTTCTAAGAGCCCGATGAATACGAGTGCAGAGACATCATGAATGAAGAAACTTTGACCGGCTTGATCGACCTCACTTCAAATCAACCAACGATGACGGACTTCTTCGGT